GCATGTAGTAAAAGTGATTACTGACAATTACAATTTAAGGAATTTGGCCCCTGTTAAGAAATAATAGGCCCATATTTTTTTATAACTTGTTTTCCTAGAGTATTATACCATTTTGGAATATTGGTTAGTTGCGTCAATTTTTAAAAAAACTTGCCATACTAGTGTTCATACTTTTTTTTTACACCACGATAAGTTAAATTTGGTTAAAAGTAAAAGTCTTCAAAAAATTTAGGGAATAAAATAAGTTTCATTAATTTTCGTGATAAAACAAGAGTTATTCTGGAGTTTTTAAGAATTGTGGTAGATAGCAGTACTATTCAGGTTGCCTATAAAAAAAAAAGAAAAAAATATTTAAAAAATTGTGGTCATGGTAGTGAAAAATATCATAAACGGTCTCAATTTCTGAAGAATTTCATTTTTTTTATATAACTTAAAATATAATTGGGATATATTTTTTTTTTCTTTTTTTACCCGATTAGTCCGGGGCAGGTCTATCCTCCGGTGTTGGCTTATCGTTGAATTTTGGGACACGTTGTATATATATATATATATATATATATATATATATATATATATATGTTAAAATCGAATAAATATTATGAAGAAAGAAACAAGGACATAGAAACACTTGATTTTCATAAAGAAAAGAAATATATAATATAATTATATCGATAAACTCAGTAGAAGCCTCAAAAAAAATTAAATCACAGGTATAATACTTGTACATCCGTAAGATAGCGTAATAAAGTATATACTTTATTACGCTATCTTTGAGCAACGCCATTTTTCTAACGACTTCAAACAGGAGAAGGAAGTCGACTGTGTTTTTTTATGTGTGTTACCTCATAACCTTCTGGGTGAACTGATTTCGATGATTCTTTTTTTATTTGAAAGCTGGTGCTTCACATTCACATTTTTATTTTTAGTTATTGTTGAAAACAACTTCGCCATAATGTTCACTATATATCGAAATTATAACATAAAACGTAATTTTCGCGCATTGGACTTTGTGGGATATGAAAATTTGTGTTTATTACATGATTTATTGTGATAACTCACACTTTTTATTTACTTTTCAGTTAATTCTGGCTATTAAATATAGTGATACGTGAACGACACAGTATTTGAAATGGCAATTTTATAAAATATATGAAATTGTTACGAAGCAAAATATCAGGAATTAAATTTTAAAACAGTGTAATTACTTACCATTTGTATAAAAACTAACAAAAAACTTTCTATTGTACCCACTTAATTTTTTGTAAAATTTCTAGTTGCCTCTTACACTCACGCGGCGAAGGATATAAGACTAAAGTATGTGACGTAAACGCGACGCGAGGCGGAAACTCGTCATTTGAAGTAAATTCTGTTAATTTAAAGAAGCGTAATTTAATAACGAAACTAATTCTAATAAAATTTTAGTTTTATAGTTCATCTAAATAACATTTAAAAAATAATTGTTATGAGCACAATAACTATGGTTCTGACTAAACGTAGTGTAGTGATCATATACTCTTTGGTTCTGAGGGGTCCTTTCTAAATATTACCATACTCTTTGGAGCGTTCTACAAAGTTGACCTTGGATTGCCTCATGTGTACTTCAAAGGCTTGACAGATTAATGAAATTTGAAATATACCGAGTTTATACAATGCCTACTTGGTTACTGATTCTCTATTTTCTAATTTAGGCTTCTAGTTTTATCCACAACGAAGTTATAGGGTTACGAAAATGGCTCCATATGCTTCGAGAAAAGGATGGTACGGCCGTGGCGTTTTTTTGCTCGTCTTGGCGGGGGCACTGCCGTGCCCCCAGATAGGTATATTGAATAAAAATTATTCTTATCTATTCTATTCACGCTCACATAGGTATTTTCTTAGTAATAAAAGGGAGTCATCAGGCTAGGCATTTAGCCTTGGGAGCGATCCAAGCATCGTTTGTTAGTACGGAGCTTCTTTAAACCATTGAAATAACCTAATATTTTTAACGTCATTTAGTCAAGCATATGTTTGGTAGAATTCCGATATTTTTTTCACTGTTTATAAGTTTATTTATAATTTTATATTGTAATAAAGATACCAATAAACTAGTTTTTACCATGCCTTCTCGTTAAAATGTACCTATTGCACTCGTTCGGAAACTTCTACGGGTCAGCGTAGACCAAACTGCAAAATGCTTGCGCTCGAGCAAAATTTGACTACTCGACCATGCAGGCAGCATCCACGCGCCTCCGTGAGCAAGATCCATTGAAAGTGCTCTGGGTTGCTAGGGGGGGGGGGGGGGGGGGGGGGCGTGCATGACCAATTTGATGCCAAAATCCAACGTTGATAGACGTGTTCAATATGATCGATTGGGACTTGGTGATTATCGCCCTTTTGGCAGAGGAAGAGGAACATGAAGAACATATTAATGAAATCAGACGTCAGAAAGTTAGAAGAACAGTATGGGTAGAAGAAACGTTGCGGGAAAGATGTACCTCAGGCGAATATTACACATTTTGTAAAAATTTACCATTAAGAGGTGTTCATTTTTATGACTATTATACATTTACGGCGGCGGTGCGAGTGCGCTCGCGCATGCTCGAACATGCATCCAGCAAGCTCGAGCATGGTCGAGCATCAAGTTTGGACGTGTATATAATTTTGCACTGTCTGTCAATAGTCATAAAATTAATATTTTAGTGTTCTCAGAAAATACTCTGTTCTGCTCTGCTCTTCTCTTGGTGTGCGCTGACCCTTAGTCGTAATTTTGGCTTCATGATTATTTCTCATATCATAGGTGATCGCTTCCGTACTGTTTCCTAAATGTTTTCTTATTTAATTGTATAAAATATTATATTGTACTTAAATAATTCTTTTAAAAAATCCCACTGAGTTTCATGGTGGTTCTTCCCAGGATAGAGGTTTTTTCCAAACCAATGATAGAAGAAAAAAATACTTTCAATAAGTAAGTATTTTTGTAATCTATAATGAATAACATTATTCCATTAGTTTCTACTCTATTCATATCATTATCATAGTTTAAGGTGAGGGTGAAGACAAGTAATATTATGTGAAAGTTCTTTGATGTAGAGGCGAGCGGTTCATAGCTCTCATCAATGTGAACTCTACTGCTCGTCTCTACAACAATATAAAACAGAACACCATGATAAAAAAATGTTTAATTCCAAATAATTATTGTCCAAGTAAATGTAATTAAATAAAAGAAAATTTGAAGTTTTTGTCAGTTGTAAAATACGAATAAAACATATTTAGGTAGGTACTTATACATATAAAATGTAATTTTGGATCAAAAATATTTAAAGGAATCCAGACAAACGTTGAAATGGTTAAATCATCCGATTTTTCAGATTAGGTACCCAAAAAGGATTTTTAAGTCCGTATAATTTAAGTGTGTAAAATACATTTCCATGTCGTGAATAAATAAGCATAATGTGAGAATAAAAACTATAACATTAGGTACGTAGAGCGACTCGAAAATTTTTATTTTTGCGTTCCATTCTATCATATATGCCTGTAGAGTTATAAAGTCAATACATATTATCATTATGGATTACAATTATTACAATAATTTCCTTTGTACTACCCAATACTTGTCTACTCGTATCTTGTCATTAAAGCAAAATTTCAAACAAAACTGATAGCAGTCACATGTTCAATGATTTCCTCTCTAAATTCAAAAGAAAATATTAAACACTGCTGTTGACAATAATCCGTAATAAATATGTAAATTAATACAATATTCCACATTTTTCTTGCGTTTTAGGCGCGGATCCAGAGATATTTGAAAGTCGCCAGAGACGTGGACAGAGACGAAGTTTCTTACTTCGTCATTCTTTCATCTCAATGAAGATATTAGTAGAGATTAATTATATTAAAAATATATGCCTATATTATTATATTACATGATTTTCATTAATCCCTATTACCCTCCCCCCATAGATAAGATTTTTTTAAATTACAAATCATAAATTGTTTTTATAAACTACTACGAATGTAGTAAACATTCGAAATAATATTACAATAAAATTATTTCGTAATTAAATCACATGGAACGTATTAGTGCTTGTTCACGTAGTACACGCGGGCGCTGAGGCGCCAGTCGGCGCGGTGGTTTAGGCGAGCTCATGTTCACGTTGGCCGTCAGACGTTTGCGCAAAGACTACAATGTTAAATTATAGGGAACGTTTGCGCGAGTATGACGTGTTGTCAGACATTGAGCATTTAACCGGAATATGCTCGATGTTGTCAGGGGATGTAAACATGTACGACGAACTTTCATTTTTAATCGAAAACTCTTACATAAATTGGGAGATGACTAAAAGTAGAATTGGTGTGCAGGAAATTAATAAAGGAGAACTGGCAGAGTGGAATAATCCATTGAATGGTCGACCGTTTGTAGCGACAAGTTCAAAGTTGTTGATCTTACTTCAAGCTGAATCAGCGAATCAACCGCGCGCTCCACCGCTAATTCGACGTGAACACACACAAACAACTTACTACATTCGTTTGATATTGCCGCGAGCTGCAAGCGCGTCGCGCGTGATAGTATATAGTCGCCAGCTTGCTCTGCACCGCACCTGCGTTTTGCACGTGAACACTTGCATATAATGCTATGTGTTTGATATTTTGTGACCGCGCCCGCGAGTTAACGTCAACAAGCACTTAGGGTAGCAAACAAACCCTAGAGAGCACGTTTTTTATTACGTAGGTAACAAATTTAAATAATTTTAAAATACTGACGAAACATTATAAATATAAAATAAAATGGCACACAATAAAAAAAAATATATTTGTAAAAATTAAAAAAACAACAAACCAGCATCAAACTACACAGTTACAATATAAAAAATGGACTGAGTAGTATTAGGTATTAAAATATCATTTTGTAGAAAAAGCAGATCACAATTCAGATCTATATAATTAACATGTTCTCCACTGACGGTATATTATCCGGTAGCTTTATTATAGATACAGAAGGTAATCTTGTGGAGTTAAAAAGTTTATATCTTATAGTTGGCAGGTCTCACTCTATAAATTCTAAAACAGAACCTCTTTAAAAAACATGACATTCGTTGATATATGCTGAGATCGAGTGCCTGAGATTCATTTGTTCGCAATGCATTGCTTTCAAAACAGTACTGATCCCTGGAACTCGGGAACTTCGGAATGGCTTCAGTACAAAAATGGGGATAGTATGAGAATTCTTGTTCAATATCAATATAATTATAGCCTCTGGACGCCTCACGGATTTCTTGTTCCAGCGAGCATGGGGATGCAACATAAAATCTATACTGCCTTTTATATTTATGTAAAAGCATTTCGGCATTATTCAGTACATCGTCGATTTTCTCGAACAGCTCGTTTATTGGCAAAGAGCCGTATTTGTGAAGGAACGTTGTCGGGACCAATTTATACTTATGACCTGTCTTTTTGTCCTTCCAAACTTTAGTTGTACTTTCCAGTTGCAGCAAATACGTGGGTATGCTATAGCTGTGAGTCGTTATAACGTGAGTATGGACGCCGTAATAACTTTTAATTTCCCGATGTAAAGCATTAGCAAAAGGGTAAATACCGCCTTGATGTATAAACCCAAAGAACAAAGTCAGCAGAATATTTAGTATGTACCAAATGTAACATAAAGTATTTTTCAGTCTTTTAGATTTTGGTGGATCTGCTTCGTTTGGATGTAAGTGATTACCATAAAGGTATATTAAAGGAATGAGAACTGGAATTATAAAACGAGCTTCCTGGTGAGGAAATAACGAAAGGAGAGCAACAGGAGTGACTAGAGAGAAGAGCATGAGTCCTGTAATGCTCTGTATTCTTGGCAGTTTGCTGTACTGTCCCCTAATGAATCTGTAACAAAACAAAAAATCATTTTTCAAATGCCTGGGCAAGCATTGGACCGTTTTAAAAATAAAATACTTTATGATTATCTACTTTGTTATATGGAATATCATAAGGTATTTCATCTATCCATCCATTACAGCCTATAAAAGCCCACCGATAAATAGACAAGAAATATGTTTGTTTTTTTACTTACGAAAATAAACTTTCTTTTAAGTAAAAATATATTGGTTTTTTAATATTTTCATAGTTTTTTTTACGTCCTCATTAAAAGTAGTTGAAATCTTTATATATAAAAATTACGTGTCTTACGTACGTACGTACGGCTACTTTTATTTTAGAAAAGGAGTTATGGTTCCGTGCAAAAAAATTTAAATCCATAAAATCCAATCGTAATAAATTCCACGCGGGCGAAGTCGCGGGGAACATCTAGTACAATACATATGCGTTTTAATTTGTATTTATGTAAAATTTTCAATAAAATATTACTTTTAATATTTTGTATCATCTCTGTTGGTGTGCATATTAATAAAAAATAAATAAATAAAACATACAACTAAATCTCTCAGTAATAGGCAATTGTACATAGCTTTCCTTGTGAAATACAATCTTTTATGGCTAACTAATTCTTAGTACTCGATATAGACTGTATTTTATCAATTTCGCATACTGAGCAAACAAAACATAATGAGTTTAAAGCAATAAAGTTATATTATTAACCCTTTCCCTGCCCCATGAACCATATATGAATATTTTAGTTGTTTAACTATTGTGTCTGTTTTACGAATAGGGAAACTGTAAACAGTAAATTAAAATCTTGAGGTGATTTATGATAAAATTAAAAATGATGTGTCTTCCTAGTTTGAAAAGCACCTAACTCAATTGCGTGCACTATCATCGTCACCACTAACGTAACACTGAAGGGTGATAGTGCAGGAATATATTATCTATTATATTTACAGCAAAATATAGACATAATATAAATATTATTTTTGTATATTGTGTGGTGTATTTATATGGTAACTACATGTCATCTCACTAAAGTTTTTGAATATTAATTTTTGGTCCAATCTACGCAGATTCAGCCTACAGTATCTTGAAGTCTTTCAGTGGTATGCTTGGGGCTGGATTTAATTTTATTAATTATAGAATCCCAAGCAGATGGCAGCACCCATCTATCTTCTCTATTGAAATTAGGATATTTTTTTATTTCAATAGCCTTGCGAATCGTCCTTGGTAGGAATCGGTGTTCTTTGGTGAGGATTTGTGGTCTATCAAATCTAATGTAATGGCGGGGATGATCTAGAACATGTTCACACACTGCAGACTTCCTGGAACGTCGGTGCTTCAAGTCAGCGATATGTTCTTTTTAAATTAAATGTATGCTATATGTTTGTTAAAATGCGATAAAATCCATAAAAATTTCTTTCATTTAATGTGTAGTCTTCGCATAAATATAAGAAATCATTATTTAAAGATGTTGAAACTACTTCCACCTCTCTCCTATATCTGTCGTATCTATGTCACAGCACAACTTTTGTGGTCATGCTATTAACATTTTAAGGAAATTTATTATAATAATAATTATATTACCTGTAAGTATTACTGGATAGTGTAGTTAAGGCAATTATTCCCAGTACATTAAACAGCAATGGCATATTCACAATTAAATGTAGCCATCGTGGATGTATTCCATGTTGCTTGAGATTCTTTGTGTCCAAGTTGTACCTCAGGAAATTCAATGGAGTGACAACCCAGTTATCCCACGATAGTTTCAATGATTCTATATCTGCATTTGTTAGATATCCATAATAAGAAGAATCAACTATGATAAGTAGAAGTGTCATTGGTACACCACATAGCATAAATGTGAAAATTCTATAATGGAAATCTTTGAAACCCACTACTTTAGAACCTAGGCCTCTGTGTAGCCAAAAGAAGATTGGTGCCAATGCAAAACCCACGAAAGTTGGACGGTTGAAAATACCTATTACTACTAGAGTTGCAAGTATAAAAACCCTATTCAAAGAATGTTGAGGCAAATGAGTTTTGAGTTTAAAAATTTTTACTTTCTCGACTGGTGTTTCAGCTTGATTATATTTTTCTGTAAGAAACTCTTCATGATATATGACTTTATCTGATTTTAACATACATTCAGCTACTAACAGTAGTAGCAGAGAAAAGAATATCATTTCAAATGCATTGGAAAAGCTTCTGCAGCAGTACACAAAGACAACATAAGAGCTGGCAAATATTTTTAGCCTATTCTTAAAATTTTGGCCGTACAGAATGCATATTCTGTACAAACAATAGTCATTAATAAGAGATAAAAGACAGATAAAGATTCGGGGTATAGCCAACAGGTAGTATGGTGTTAGTAGATCAATGTTCAGATAAGCTTTAGAGTAAGGATTTACAATACGAATAAAGTGAAGAGGTGGGCCAAGTACAATCTTTGGTACAAAGATGTTTCTAATAGGAAACTTTGGATTGAACTCCCATGTTCTTGCAACATCAACTGTGAGGATATCTCCTGAAAAACAAACAATTTTCTTTCAATATTATCTTTGTTGGAGCTGTGTGTAGTTTGGGAAATTCAAAGTCAAAATACATCATAATAGCTGTGATAAACGCCGTTAGTAGATATTTTTACCATGAGCAAGCATAACTAAAGTACTATATATAATTAATCAGAGCTATTATCTACCAACTCTTCAACATTACAGCTCTAACAAGTCCACTGCTCAACATATTTAAATAGGTCACTCCCACTAATTGGAACAAAGCACGAGCTACTAAGCCCGGGCTACTTCATCCATCAACTTTCTAAACGTTTCACAAGTTGTTACATCTAGGGGGTAGCCCAACACTACTTAATTACAAATAACTTTTTTTAATTGGCTGGCAGTACTTCGATACATTTATCCTCTAATAATATTATAATATTAATAATTTAATTATTCTAGAAGCCGCAATGATATTTCCCGTGTTGATAGTATGGGCATTTTTTTTCTAGAAACGAATTGCTGATAACGCATTCCAAAAATGTCTATATCTAGCAGTAAACTTTCGAAGGCTGACGATAGGATGGAGTACATCATGATTAAATAAATAATATTAAAATGAACCTTACCAGCAATGACTTCCACGTTTTGGAAGAACTCATCTGGATGAATGTAGCCTGTTTGCGGAATTAAAGTTAGCACAAATCTAATTAGCACTAACAACCAATATGTTAGAGGTAATTTTACTGGATTTGAAAATGAAATAGCCTTAAATATTTCTGCTTTTAAAAACATGTTATCTAGGCGCCTCTGGGACTAAATATTCATAGATGATTAATGTATAGATATACATTGAAACTGATTTTATGTTATAACTAGTCTTTGGTTATGACATTAAAACATTATACATTAATAATATTGGTGGGGGTAAAAGCAAAAATTGGGAATTTACGAGAATTCTGAATTATTGAAAATATTTGTTATAATCAGGTGTTCATAGTTTGACATATTTGACATTTTCATGTATATACCAGTATATACAATGTACTCTGTGTTTGACACTGACAGTTAAAAGTTTTGTTGTTGTTACGATTTGCCAATTGAAGCAGGCAATGGTCTTACATCACACTGCCTAGTTTGATGTGTATTTTGTTCACTAACTGCTTCACAATATGTTGATGTGAAGTTCTTGGTAGATTTGACGACAGCTTATCTCAGCGACTTGTGGCAGCGATTCCTTTCCTTTCCTTTTGACAGAGGGTAACGCTTGCGTATGGCTACTCTACTAGACGATAGTATCTAAAGCGGTCTAAGTGGAAAAAAAAACTTGATATTTATATCACCATCGAATCACTTTTTTATATAAGAGGGGGCAAACGAGTATGCGACTTATCTGATGGTAAGTGAGTACATTTACCCATGAACAACTGCAATGCCAGGGGAATTGCACTTGTATCTTCGTTCCACTAATAGTTCATATGCATGACCATGATAAGTGTTCATCAGGGAAAGAATCTGACGAAGAATAGCCCCACAAGGAATTTCATTATTAAAAACACCATCGTCGCCCGCATCTTCGCCGCCGGGCGAAGGCCAACCTTCCAATGAAGGTTCCACTTCAGATTGGGCTACTACATGCGAGTTGAAAGAGCTATATGTCACGAAACATAACGTATTGAATAAATCAGTCTTTGGAACAAAGTACAACAGGCTCCATAAAACTATCAGCCCATTTATGGGTATTATTTATATTTTACTACTAGTTGTTCTGCCCTCTCCGATGACCCTTTGTCCTATAAAAAATCTTTAACTTTTATAATAAAAAATATTGCGGGTCATCAGGATAAAAACTATCCTATCTCTCAAGTGGGATCAAACTGTACACAGTGTGAAAAATTTTTTTGAAATCAGTACAGTAGTTTAGGAGTTCATCGCGGATAAACAATGTGAGCGTTAATTTTTATATATAAAGATTACTTATAACAAGAATTTCAATAATATTACTGATTTGCTTTTGCATAAATTCTAAGCACATGTAAAAAGCCTTTTTACGAAGAAGGGATATTTTAAATTAGATGATGCTGAGCATCCTTAGACTTTTTTGTAATTATGTACCTATACATTCTCGTGAGTTCTCTTGTTCGTTCTTTTCACAAGATCTCCCGCAGTAGCATAGAACCCCACAGAACACTATTACTCCTAACGGAGCGGAATAGGCACTTGATAAAGCAATGGCATAGCTTTCTAGACTTTCAAAACGTATTTTGTAAAGGCCAATTTTGAATAAAATATTTTGATTTTGAATAAAATATTTTGATTTTGAATAAAACTATTAAATTAAATGTTCAAAAGCTGAAAATATGGAATTAAATCGAAACACAATTAATATGATATGTTTTTATTAATGACTTGTTATTTTAAGTAAGATCTTGTAAGTGACAAACTTTCAATCATAGATTTGGCACTTAAATACTATATTCCATTATGAAATAAACATTAAGAGTTAATAAATTATTTTACAAGAATAAAATTTAACATATTGTTGATTACAGGTTAATTACAAGTTTGTTAATACTGATCACAATAAAATTTATCTATGAAATCATATATGATATATTCATTATTTCAAATGATTTTGAAATATTGCCATAATCTTTGCATAGAAAATCCTACTCTTCAATCGTTCTAAAGTATAAATGTAGCATTACATAATACTTATTATGAAGTATTTGAAGCCCAGAAGCTTACTCAGATCAATATATTATAAATTATAGTCACAATGCAAATTAATAAATATTTACACGACAATATTATTGTCTACAAAAATATCTAGTTCTTTCAGGAACTAAAACATTATTAATTAATAATTTTTTAACTGCGTACTGCGCGAATTATTAGAGTATAATTTGTGGGGACAAATTTTCAAACAGTACAATAAAAAGTAAAGTTACAGCCTCTAAACAATCCATTGCAAAACAATCTACATTCGTTTTAAAGATGTGATGCGACAGCAGTCAACCACAATCACACTTAACAAAAGTAGCGGTAGATCAATTCCGTGTTATGATTTCGGGAAATTTTTCAGACAATTGCTATCGATTTTAAAATGAAATAATGAATAAAATAATAAAACAGACTCATTTGTGCGTTATTTTTATTCCTTAGTACCTATATCAGTATATTAAAACTATAACATTAGTGAAGTTAGCTTTCATAAACATTTTAAACATTCGTTTGATATTGTTACAATTTAAATTTCGTTATTTTGTGTAAATATCTACATCTACTAAAGTTTGAGTCTTTTAAAATTACTTAAAGATTAAGTTTTACTACTTAATTACAGAGTTGCCAATCAAACTACTTTATTACAAATGAAACACAGCTAATATCACATTGAAATTCTGACCTACTTGACTATTTTTTTTTTACTTTGATTAATTTGGCGTGCTATTCAACTATCAACTTTTCAAAAAGTTTGAATTATCTGCTCCATATTAGCAAAATTATCAGCTTATATGGTTTCCATAGCTGTTCACACGGGCCGCGAATAATTTAAACTTTGTTAAATAAATTAACGTGTACGACAATTTAAATGAATGTTAATATTTAATTATTTAATTAGTTGGTCATTATTATCGAACGTAACAACGTTTCAATTAAAAATCTTGCAAATTTATTCCATGTGTATATCAGTCCGGTAACACCAGGGCATTTCCTCTCCGAATTTGCATTTGTGAGCGTTGTTTTTCGCATCGTACAAAAGTGCATTATCTACATAAGCGTCGCATACATTGCACCATACGGAAAGGTCGAGTAGAGAAATTACGAGGGCGTGGTCGGTCGTTCGACAGTGAGCTTGCATATGGCCGTTTATGTTGCGGCCGCAGGCGGTCTGTAAATTAACATAATGATGATCAACCAAATTGTTGCAGAGCTAGTCAAAAATTGTCTGGCTCGAAGGATCAATAACGAATAAACAGTTTCCTAGTGAAAATCTATTTAAAAATTTCAATCAATAATCTCTCATCGACTTTATACCTAACCTATAAAATGTTAGAAACAATAAAAGGTCATCAATAACGCTACTTATAGTACTGCCATAGAAATATAAATCTTTGACATTTTAAGAAGACTAACAAAAATATAACCAACTTGAGGTACATTTGTTGTTAAATGAAATGTAACTAAGGATTTGTTAATGTGAAACATTTGATAACTACAAAACAAGTCAAATGATTGTCAAAGTTTACTTGAAGTTTCAACTAAATTTTTCCAGGCCGTTATGGCATCAATTGCAATGAAACAGCTGATGTGATGGCTTTAAACGCAATTTAAAATGGTTTACCATGTAATATAATTTACTCTTCGGACACAGTGTTACTTGAAATTAAATAATAATTGGAATAGATTATGGAAAATCACTCAAAATATAATATAAAATACGATAAATGCCTTGTCATAGAAAAGACAGACATCTATCTTCAATTGAAAATCAAAATTTAGATGCGTTTTCACTTGTGAGAACTAAGATGGAATGCCTTGTTTGCAGTAAAAAAAGGTACTCCAGTTTCCTGCACACACCATACGAAACACATCATTAAGCTGCTATTTTACGCTAGTATTCTGTGAGAGCGTTGTCCTTCTCCGGTCAAGCCGACATTTTTGCAAGAAATATTTTTTTTTAATTCATATTTATAACGTTAAATATTATATTTACACACACAGCCACACATTCTATTAATTTACAAAATAAAAGAAGTACTCACAACATAACAATGCAGACAGACCCAATTCTCTTTCGTCTCGTCGCAGTCCACACATTTAACTCCCTGTTCAAATTTAACTGATGGGGGTATCGCAAATAGACTATCAAGATGTGGACACCACTGTAAAGGTACAACTGCAAACATTTCGCCTTCGATAAGAGCTTGCATGTTCTCCGATAAATAATCTACGAGAGTTTTCTTTCCTTCTACCTCTTTACTAGAGCCTCCTTTATCAACCTCATTCTTTGAAGACCCTGGACCCTCTTCAGTTACTCTGATCTTATTAGGCAGTTTAGACAAGTCTTCGTTTTCATCATCAGTACCACAATGTACACCATCAGAGCATTTCGTTTTTCCTATACTCAAATTCAGCATGTCATTTTCTAAAGACGAATCGAGTTGATTGAATGATTTAGAGCTGTCATTAGATAAGTCATTCAATGGTCTTGAAGCTGACAACTTAGATACTTTCTGTAAATCTGTGTGGTGAGATTCATCTGCAACCAAACCTCGAGAAGGCAGTGGTTCTCCTAGGACATTCTCTATAGGTAAGGCCAGTTGGAATTTCAAACTTTTCCAATACTTTTTATGGGTTTTAATAACATTATTGATTGATTCTATAGCAGACCAGTGGCAAACTGCTTTAGGGTCGTAATGGTATTGTATAGGGTCGCCGAGAAGGGCTTTGGTACACATGGTCATTGCGTAAGATATACTGGTGGTATTGTATCCCCCTTCTAGGCAAAGGATAATTCTTCCACCAGCTAAACCTCGAAGCAGGTGAGTCATTCTTCCATAGCATTCTGGTGAAACTTTGCAACCTACAAAGAATAAGGAACAAATTAAGAAAAATATAAAGTAAAAAATAAGAACTATTCTTTACATTTCTACGGTCTTATAAAAAACGTGGTTAGTGCGTATTAATGGTGTATAGTCTCAGATGTGTATTGGTGACGAAAGAAGTCTCTTGGCCAAGGCGCTAATGTCTTCGCGAAATTTGACATTTGCTGATAAATTTCATAACTCGCATTTTAAGTTCGCATATTTTCCACGGCACTTCTTTGTTGAAACCGGGCTCTTAGTTTAACCCTGAGACTAATTTGAAACTACTAATTGTATTAAGACGGCTAACCTAAAAAAAAACTATAAAATGTTTGCTATTAAAATTCAATGAGAGCTTATAATTTTCTGCTCACCAGAAGTCGCTAGTTGACACTGAGGTAAAGCTTTTTTGTTACACAGTGTAATTTAATTGAGAAGTTGTTTTTTAATAAAAGTTTATCAGTTTCTAAAGTATTATATTAATACATAAAACAATGCGTCAGTGGTTTGCTCTTTAATTTTTTGCACTTTATTAACTTTTTTCTTATTTTTCTATCTGTGGTTTTGTTTATTTATTTTTAAATGTTATTAATATAAAACATAGCTAATAGTACAGGAAGAAACAATAACTTTTACATTTTCCGAACAAATTAACTTCCCCGCTATGAAATCTATCAAATATTATAACTCACTTTCTAGTGGCGCCGCCCTAATGGCAAAAAAAGTCGTGGATGCCTTCATTGACTGCCTCGTTGGTCAAGTGGTCGTAAACGAGGTTGCAGATCTGAGGGCATCGGATTCGAATCCCGGGCCGGACGAAAAAATCAGTTATTGGATTTTTCTGCCAAGAAATGTGCAGTAGCAATCAGAGTCTGGAATTTAGCGGTGTTTCACCCCCTTGCCTTGGAAAGCACGTAAAGCTGCAGTTCCTGTGCCTGATCTCTTTATCTCTCTCTCTCTCTCTCTCTCTCTGTGGTCGTATTGGATTGTCGTCCTATCCGACTATGAGAGTAAGGGGATAGAGAGTGCATCTCTGTTTGTTCATACACTTGAGAGCATACTCATTCTAGAAGACCGGCAACGCACCTGCTATTTTCCTAGTGTTGCAGTTGTTCATGGGCGGCGGTAGTCACTTACCATCAGATGGGCCGCATACTCGTTTGCTCTTTCTCCTATAAACTTAGCTTTTTTTTCTTTCCCTCTCTTTTTCTCGCTCTGTTTATCCACATGCAAATTTTTCATGCAAATCCAAAACCCATAAATGGAGGTAAGAACCTCCATTTTTGGGTTTTGGATTTGCATGAAAACGAGCTTACAGACACAACTTGCTAGAAATTCGATTCCTCTGGTGTTGCCGTTGTTCATGGTCGGCGATAGTGACTTACTATTAGGTACAGTCCAGTCACTAGCATAAAAAGGGGTCAACCTTGGAATGAGAGATAATAGGCTGAATTTTCGTATATACATTCATTTTGGCGTACTAAAAGTTGTCTCAAAACTCACATAAAATTTCGTGTCTTCGTCGTAAGTTATTCAAGGTCAAAGGTTAAAAAAATCATTTTTTCACAATTATCTCGCTTTCTATTGCTCCAGTGACGTTAACATCTATTATAAAAATTGTAGAGAATAAAGTTTGCGAAAAATTTTATATGAAACATTTTTTATGCGCTCAAACGTATTTTGTCCACGTATTCGGGAAGAACACCTCTCCCCGTGGCGGATTCATAACGCGACTCGACTGTGCCTACACGTTATAGGCATGTCGGATTACAGGGGGTGCCAGATTCGATAGGGGGCCGGATTACCGGCGGTCCACTGTATTATCTAATAACTTACACATTTTAAAGATAAAGTACTTAATTATTTTTCTATTTAAAATCTATTTACGTGGTAGAGCCATGCTGCAGCTATTTTGTGCTTGCAGCACGAATGGGTCGGCTCGACCGGGGAAGGACCACAAGTTGCTATTTTACGCTGGTATTCTCACAGAATACCAGCGTAAAATAGCAGCTTAATGCTGCTATGTTTCGTATAGTGAGTGTACAGAACCGGAGACCTTTTTTACTGGAAAATAGGCATTCCATTTTAGTCCCCACGGCTCACAACGCGTCTGCATTTTAATTCACAAACGAGGTTAGATGTAGATGTCTATGGGTCACAGCAACCTCTTACTATCAGGTGGACTGTGTGGTCGCTTGTCACCCTTATCCTATATAAAAAAAAATCATCATCGTTGCTCTCAATTATTGTTTCCAGACCTTCCAAAATATCAGGGTCAAATGCACTTAATAAAACAGGTTAAAATTATACGTTGGTTCTGTTTGCACCTTGCATATGTTTAGCGAATTGACGAGACAGCCCTGTAGGTATTTTGCGGTATAACGAAAGAGTTTACGCACTATTACTATTTATTACACATATGATTGAGGCAAGCTTGCCCCTTACACTGGCCACAAGCTAAATTGCTAATTCACGGTAAAGTACATATGGCTGAGCGTAAAGCGTCTCCCACACAGAAGCGGCTTGTGGTGGCGGCCGCGGTGGCGGCCAGTTCTATTCGCTTGCAATGTAAGTGAGTCTTCAGACACGTGCGGCCATTTCGCGGTCTGCGAGCGGCTAGCCGCGGCCGCATGCAATACGAACCGAGATTATCGGGAAACTTTTTTTTTTTACCTTTGACCTTGAATAACTTACTTTTGAGACAACTATTCGATCACCAAAATGAAGGTACTCGTATATACGAAAATTCAGGTTATTATCTCTAATTCCGAGGTTGATCGCTAATTTGACTGGACTAGTAAGCCGCATGCACGTTTGCCCTCTCTTATATAAAAATAAAATGAAAAATAAACTCACCGCCCAACGGATCACCAACGCAGGCATCGAAGCCAGCGGACACGATGACTAACTCCGGGTTATATTCGTAGGCGATCGGTAGAATCACTTGTGTGAACGCTGCCATGTACTCCGTGTCACCCAATCCACGCTGTTAGGAAAGTTCTTTTTATAAATATACGCACATTAAATTTAACAGTTGATGAGCTTCTTTGTTCACAAGGTGTAATATTTTTATATTCCATATCACGTTCGTGTAGTAAGAGCGGACTATAAGAAGGCGAGATAGGTCTCACGATATTAGATAGATTAGATAATTATCTTGTTTAGTTTAATTTACTTTACAAAGGCCTATTTTCTGCAACCCCACCTCTAAGCGCGTATTTTGCGTGTGGGCAGGAACATTGTAGTTATTCGGCGAGCAATTATTTAGAAGTTCTGCGAGCGAGCAACTCCAGTGTGAGCCGAGTGAGTGCCGAGATGTTTGTAATGAATTTCGGACACACCAGTAGCACATGGACCACCGTTTAATTATCTTGTATAATCTAAACATATAAATAAAATTGAAGGGTCTATCTGTAATATTGAAATAACTGGCTTCTATTAAGCTCATGGGGTTATTTTCATACTATTAAGACATAAATAACCATTATAAAAATTTTTCTTTGTCTGTCATTCTGTCTATCTGTCGGTCCGGGCAAATCTTCAAAAGGGCCAAACCGATTGTGATTATACTTTGCGATCAGATAGAAAGCAATGCCAGGGGAGACCTAGGCTATATTTTATGCAAAATAACTTGATTATCTTAAGGTTAAACAAAACCATATTAATCGATCTAATCCAGGCGAAACCGAAGCGATATATCAGGTAAGACGTAAAATACTCAGACTGGCGATGGGGAGCAAAGTTGAAGGTTCATATCTTGTACGTGGTAGAGCCATGCTGCTGCTATATTAGTAGTATAGTTGTGGCACGAATGGGTCGGCTCGACCGGGGAGGGACCACGCTCTCACAGAATACCAGCGTCAAATAGCAGCTTAACACTGCTGTGTTTCGTATGGTGAGTGTAGAGAACCGGAGACCCTTTTTACTGGAAAAGAGGCATTCCATCTTAGTCCTCACGGGTGACAACGCATCTGCATTTTGATTCGCAAACGAGGATAGATGTAGATGTCAATGGGCCACAGCAACCACTTACCATCAGGTGGACTGTGTGCTCCTTTGTCACCTTATCCTATAAAAAAAAAACAAATCTTCCCTTTCAAAGCTTCAGAAGAAAGATACAATCATGACTTTAAGGACCTTTACATATATTCAAACTTCATACACAATGAGGGCTAATAATCTTCCACTCGCCAGATGTCGCCAGTGGTGACTGAGGTAAAGTTTTTCGTTACACAGTGTCAGTTAATTGAGAAATTAGTTTTAAATAATAGTTTCTCATTATCTAGAGTATTATATTAATACACAACACAATGCGCCAGTGGTTTGATTTTTAATTATTTGCACATTCTAGCTCTTTTAAAAAAAAATCGGCCTTTCGTTATATTTAGTTTGGTTTATTAATTTCTAATGTAATTAATATAAAATATAACTAATAATACAGAAAGAAACCTTAAAAATTAAATTTTCCTAAGAAATTATTGTCCCCGCTATGAAATCTTTCAAATATTTTACCTCAATGTAAAGTGGCGCCGCCCTGGTGGCAGAAAAAGTCATGGATGCCCTCATTCATGAATCATGAGCAGAGACCAAAACACTTTTTATATTATCGTCAGCGCATGTTGATGATGAAGTGCTCGATTTTTATTACGGCTTCTGATATAGATTGATACTGTTACAGATAACTCTTAAGATATAATATATAAAAATAAGACTAAGATGGAATGCCTCGTTTCCAGTAAAAAGAGCCACCGGTTCTTAACATTCACCGTACGAAACACAACAGTTTTAAGCTGCTATCTAACGTGGTATTCTGTGGGAAGGTGGGTCTTCCCCAGTCGAGACCCATTCGTGCTACATCTATATGGTGCAGCGTGACTCTACTACATTTCAAAACATGATATTGTGTGTTGTAACAAAGTTTACGAGCTGATGAAGATCTAAGGCTGACCTTATTCCAGGGTATGTTGATGTTGTATCCCTCCCCACGTGCTCGCCCGACGGCGTCGTAGTTAGCGTCGCGGGACTGCGGGAAGAATGACCCGTTGTCGTACCGGTGCACCGACATATACATTATCTGCAATCATGAAACATTAAAAACATTTAAAAGATTTGTAATAATCTTTTAAATGTTTTTAATAATATATTATAATAAATTTGTAATTAGTAATTTGAATGAATGTTTGAACGACAAACGAAAAAATGCGATGAAAGATTTCTCGACTAACACAGCTAGAAAGAAAATACATAATTGGTTCCTTACGCTCAACTACGAACAAACAGAGCAGCAGCTCCAAACATTGTCATAATAACTATATGCCCTATATTGAGCATATAGTTACTTATGCAAAATATTTTATAATTAAAATATTATACCAGCGATTCGCTCCGGCTTCGCACGGGCGATTTCTGATTTCTTATATTTTGGACAATAGCGCCACCTATCGGGTCCAATTGTGAATCTAAACCATCTAGGGACTCACTCAAACGCACACGAAAAATTTCATCTACATCGTTTGAGCCGTTTTCGATTTTTAGCAAGACTTACGGACAGGTATTGATTTTTATTTACAGAGAAGATAATATTATTATGTATGTGTGTGTCATCATTTCATCATTACAACTCTTTACAAATCCACTGGTGAACATAGGCATTCCCCAGCGAATGCCACAAAGTACGTTCCTGAGCCACCTGCATCCATCGACTTCCTGAATATAATTAATAGAATCAGGCGTTACTTTGCGGAAATCCATTATATAAAAGCTTTTACAAAAATTTACTTCGCAAATATCCGCGTTATAAAATAAAATGATGTGTCTTACCTAGTACGAAGAGCACATCCCGCCCTCCCTCAATTGCGTGCACTATCCCCGTCACCAAGAGGGGACCCCTTCTTTTTGTAGATAGAAACGGTTATTAAACCGGAAATAGTTTTGTTTCATACAGAGAGAGGTTAAGTTAAGAAGATCATTTGTTTCCACGGGATGTAGACGACGTTTTTCAAAGAGATCTGCGAGTATACGCAAACAGTCAGGGGATGGGACATTTGTGAAAAGACTATCAACGTCTAAAGATAACAATATGGATTTAGGAGGAATACGAATATCTTTAATTTTGGAAATGAGATCTAAGCCATTTTTTAGGCTGTAAGTGGGGGTGTTAAATTATACTTTAGGCCTTTATGTAAAAGGGACAACTCATCTGTTGGAAACTGGACATCGGAAAGATTTTTAACTCGGGGATAAAATTGGTGATATTCTGCATGTATGTCGTTATTACGATTACGGGATGAAGAGGATACAAGTCGTTGTAATTTACGGGACTGAATTTGATATTTCTCATAAACAGCCATTGAAGAAAGTTCTCTGGCTTTCCCATCCAAAATATCAAATTCAATATTATGTAATTTATATGAAAGTTCAGAGTATAATACTTTAAGGTGGATTTTTAAATTATCTCTATTGGAAAACCAACGACGACACTCCTCATTAAGCCAAATGTTCTGAGCTTTAGAAATAGCAATATTGGCCGCCCGACTATTTGTGCTGGAACGTATTTGAATATAATTGGGAATAACATGAAGTTCTTTGCACTGTTGATTGAACCAAACATTTTGGGCAGCAATACGATGGAGTTTTGTTAATTTGACATAGAGTCTTGCCTGGTCGGCCGTGCTAGCCTTTTTAATATAATTAATAGAATCAGGCGTTACTTTGCGGAAATCCATTATATAAAAGCTTTTAAAAAAATTTACTTCGCAAATATCCGCATTATAAAATAAAATGATGTGTCTTACCTAGTACGAAGAGCACCTCCCGCCCTCCCTCAATTGCGTGCACTATCCCCGTCACCACTAATCCCAGCACCGCTACTCCCAACACCACTACACTAGGCAAGACACACCACTGACGATAATACGACACGTGTTTCACCTCTACACGAGGCATCCTCAGGTGATATAGACTCTACGGTGGCTAACCGCTAAGTGAGCGGCTTCCTGAATGTCTTACCAGGTCGCCCGGGGGACGCCCTAGACTTAGTCCGCCGGTTCCGGGTTCGTCACTCGAGGACCTTTTTTCCCCATCGGTTGTCGGTTCTTCGAGCTATATGGCCGGCCCATTGCCACTTCAGCTTACTAATCCGTTGGGCTATGTCGGTCCCTCTGGTTCTACTGTGGATATCCTCATTTCTAAGTTTATCACGCAGAGAAATCCTGAGCATAGTCCTCTCTATAGCTCGCTGAGCGACCTTGAGCTTCCTCATACGGCTAGCAGTGAAGGACCACGTCTCAGTGCCATAGGCTATCACTGGCAACACGCGCTGGTTGTAAAGTTGCGTTTCCCTACCTTCAGCTCACCCTTCTCTCTTGTGCCTAGTTTTGCATTGAAGTTTCCTATTAATACCGTATAGTGGGTTTTGGAGGAATGCATGTCTCTAGATATATCCTCATGCATTTCCTCCACCTCCTCATTGGGATGTGCCGAGATTAGTGCGTAAGCCTGTACGACCATCAGCGAATATAGTTTGGTGATTCTGAGTATAAGGTACGCCACCCTTGTCGACACACTCTCAATCTTTGAACACAGCAGCATGGTTAACGAGATACTTGTGGACGATAAATTCGACACCTTCTTGGGACAGATGGTTGCCATCCTGGCGAAGGGAAGATATGGGGTAGTTGGTATTCTTATCCGCTACTACACGGGGATGTGTATGTGAATGTTTAAGTATATATTTATGTTATAGACCATAAATAAAATAAGGAGGAAATTTAAAGAAATGGAAAATTTAATTTTGTAAAATCATCCGAACAGTAATTTATTTTTGTAAATTTGTGTATATTATGGCTCTCACGATACAGGTCTTCACGCCTAATTGTCAATTAATTATTTTCAGTTTTTCATTTCATACGTATAGTTTTATATTTATTAGTGGAAATATGTGAACTTCTTTTCGAAATGCTAACCTCATGAGCACGCGATGTACTCTGTTGATATTTTGACATTCATAAAAGCTTTGAAGAAGCTTAAATTGAATATATAGTTTTAATTTTGACGTAACAAATTAGGATCCGAGTACTTTGTAGCACCCATGGTTACGCGAGGACTGAGGTTGTACCGATGTCATAGTTAAACATGGCTACCTTCATTTTAAAATTATTCATGTTTGGTTCTATCTATAAAAATACAAGTGATTAATAATGAATTATTCGAATAAATATTGCAGTATTAAGCTTTTTAAAATTTTTACGTTAATTTCTGTCAATGCTCTATTGATATTTTTATTTTTGATTAAAAAAAGACAAAAAGTTTTAATTATGATATTATGTTAATATTGTTTATTACTAAGGCGAAATGTTACACATGAATTTGCGACTATCGTAAGGTTCGCTCGTTTTTTTTTTTATAATATAAAGTTATTGAGACCGAGATAATAGTAAATACTGTAACTATATTCTATCTCATTCTCTCGCAGGGTAAATCCTCTTTTTGGTGGCGCTTTTTAGTTTCATCGAGTTTCAAATGACAAAATGTTTCCACTTCAAAAACGTGAGTTTCGTCAGTACCTTATGGTCGTCATAGGTGATCCTCTGCGTGCCGTTGCCGTGGTGCACGTCCCAGTCGAGGAGGAGCACGCGCTGCATGCGGTGCATGTGCAGCGCGTGGCGCGCGGCCGCGGCCGCGGTGTTGAGCAGGCAGAAGCCGCTCGGCAGCTCCTCGTCCGCGTGGTGCCCCGGCGGCCGCACCACGCACACGCCGCATCCCACCGTGTTTGAAGCTATCGCATCCACCACCTGGCCCAGTAAACATTCACTTTTACGCACAGCTACCACAAAATATACATTTTAACGCTAGAAAAATGAAAAAAAAAATGCGCATACATGAAATACTCAATGAAATTACTTATTGGATGAATTTAAAAAAATATTATAAACTTAGACGTTAAATAAAATAAATCTAGTTTTTTAATTACGAGGGCTGCACTAAAAGTATCGGGAATAGAATATTTGCACTGTTCCTGTCATATTAAAATCTTTTTAATTGAAAACTCCTTGGTTTTAAAAATCAAATACCATTTATTTATTTGAAAAAAGATTCTTGGTCTTGCCACAAGACTTTATCAAACTTGTTTAGTCGTTGAGAAAATGTAATTGACTCGAGAAAATTCAAAAGCGATGATTTATTATGACTTTCGAAGTGGTTTAACACAAAAACAGTGTGTTGACCGGATGATTTCTGCATTTGGTGATAAAGCCCCATCCAAAACCACAATTTATCGCTGGTTTGCTGAATTTCAACGTGGACGTGTCAAGCTCAGTAATGATCTCCGTCAAGGTCGTCCAAAAACTGCAGTCACCCAAGAAAACGTTGATGCTGTGCGGAAGCTGATTGAAGAAGATCGACATGTGACATACCGCGAAATTCAAGCAACTTTAGACATTGGCATGAGTCAAATACAAATAATCTTGCATGAACAATTAGGTGTAAAAAAGTTGTTTTCCCGATGGATACCACATTCGCTCTGTGAAGAACAAAAAGCGGCTCGCGTTACTTGGTGCGTCAGAACTCTCGAAAGATTCCACGCAGGATCCTCAAATGCTGTATGCAACATCGTATCAGGTGACGAATCCTGGATATATGCGTACGAACCCGAAACAAAAAACCAGTCATGAGTTAAAGCCAACAAAAATTGTTCATTCACGCAATGTTGCAAAAAAAATGGTGGCCACGTTTGTCTCCAAAACCGGCCATGTTACGACTATTCCTCTTGAGGGACAAACGGTTAATGCAGAATGGTATGCTAGCATTTGTTTGCCACAGGTCGTTTCTGAACTCCGTAAAGAGAACTACAACCGCCGCATCATCCTCCATCACGACAATGCGAGTTCTCACACCGCACACAGAACAAAAGAGTTTTTAGAGAAAGAAAACAAGGAATTATTAGATCATCCGCCGTACAGCCCCGACCTAAGCCCTAATGATTTCTATACTTTCCCTAAAATAAAGAATAAATTGCGTGGACAGAGATTTTCATCACCTGAAGAAGCTGTGGACGCCTACAAAACGGCCATTTTGAAGACCCCAACTTCCGAATGGAATGGTTGCTTCAATGATTGGTTCCATCGTATGGAAAAATGTGTCAAATTTCGCGGAGAATACTTCGAAAAGCAATAAATACATTTTTAAATAGTAATGTTGTGTCACTTCCTTGATTCCCGAAATTTTCAGTGCCGCCCTCGTAAGAGTATTTTTTCCCTTTCAGTACATCAAGGAATATCCCAACCTCAAAGTAAGTCTATAGAATTACAGTAGTTTTTTTTTATGAGACCACCAAGAAAGTATTTTTAAAAAATCATCAAAATCTGTTCACAATTGACGAAGATATCACATATATAAAAACAACCCTACAATCGAACTGCTAATCAGCGTCTTTGTTTAAAATTCGCTAACAATTTAAATTCATGATCTATATCGATCATGTAAATTTCGCCGGCGTCAATGAAATTTTTAATCTGCAATTTTTAAGTTCTGATTTAATAAGTATTTGGGAATGAAAGTAAATATCATAAGAAAACCTGTAAGCTTTAGAAATAAAATTTGTATTTCAAAGACATGTGAAGTTCACTAACACATGCAAGTCAGCGCAATACACAATTCCTAGCCCTAAAACCCTCTCACAAATAAAATGAGACCTGTGCCCAGGAGTGGAACACAAATAGAGTGTACCCTTAATATTGCTATTATCGAAAAATGGATTAAAAAGCGATGGAAAGGTTTAAAGGATCGCAGTGATAGGCAACTATAGTGCCCTCGTTATCAACTAAGTCGTCGGGCCATAAATGTCAATAGCAATAAGCACAAGGAATGTGCGACCGCAGTGCGCCACTCGCTACCTGAGTCCGCCTTCATTCAATTTGTCGTTACATGTTTATGTTTAGTAAGGTAAGGACCTCTGTACATTTTTTTTATTTATAAAAGTCATGATTATAGATTGTACAGGAAGGCGATAGTGACACAGATGACTCGGATGAACAAGATAATTTGTAATATAATAAAATATTTATAAATGTCGATTATATTTTATTTATTTTATTGTGTTATTTAATAATTTCAAACCTTAAAAATCCATTCATTAAATATTATCGATATCGACTACCTGCTGTTACGCACATAATTATAACGCTTCATAAGCCCAATGAATGCGAACGAGATAGATTGATTACAATGATTTATTGGCCGACGACTCAATTGATAACGCGGGCACTATAGTAGACGTATAAAATTTATTAAATTACGAAAGATTTATTGACAATCGCTTAAAATAAAAGCAACTTTCTTATTTAGGTTTAATCAGTTACGTATGATTAGATAAAACAAGTTTCACACACTTTCACTCACCTGTAAAACGCACCCCATAGCCACAGAGGCACTTTCCAATGAATCGGGATGGAAGTAAACAGACTCGAAAGCCTCTTTCCAACTATTCAAGTCACGGAGTTTAGTTGTAGCAAGCTCTTTGAGCCTGAAAGCAATGCCAAAACCATGTTCAAAATGAAGTTCTATGAATTAAATTCAGAAGTGCGAAACAAACACAAATTAACAAAATTTTTTAAAAAGCAACCTTATGACTTGGATCTAAGATTCATATTTTCATACATATGGATATTTAATATTGATCTCCAGTGACTATTTTCGATTAGTATCGAAATTTTTGATTGCTATTGGAATTATTAACCTACTGCGAGTACCCTTAAGCTAGTGCAGTATTCACTTTCCAGTACCTGACCATAGAATAACTCATAAGCAAAAAAAACCTCAGCAGATAAATAATATAGTACTAACTACACAGAAATACGGTGATAGTCGTCACAATACACAATAACATCATCGTCCTTATCATCATTATCATCATTACAGCACTTCTTGTGTCCATTGCCGAACATAGGCCTCCACATAGATTGCCTGATAGGGGCGATTTTACCATAGTTGCCAAGCTTGGCAAGCGGGTTGGCAACCGCAGTTTTTTTATAATATTGAGTTGTTATCAGGAAGACGCTGCTGTCCATCTCCTGATTTGTTTCCCTCTAGCGCCTCTTACGACACGATGCGATTAAACCCTATTAAGTAATAAGAAGCCTGTGTGATGTATAGCGGTGGTTCCAATATATAGTGTTAATAATAGTAACAGTTGTAATCATCTCGGAGGGGTACTGCAGACAAAGAAGGCTGACGCAGATAGATTGTCACCTCTAAGGACTAAGATGGTATACCTCACAGCCTGTAATATCTCTGCCGCCAAGCAGTGCATACACTGTTTGGTGGCAGAGATATGTAAAAGGGACATATATCTAGACGGACTTTAAGGCAAAACAGTTCTACCACCTAGTATTGAAAACGGGCGTCTGCAACTTGCACATCGTAATATTTACTGTAAAGCAATATCAAGCAGTTTGATTAACTTATTGGGCAAAATCGGATCAAATACAAAAATCACCATACATACCTATTGAGATGCTTTTCTGTGTGTACGGTGAGTATTTCTTCGTCAGTGGCGGCCCTCGCGGGCAACTGGTGCAGTCTCTCCAGCAGCTGGAAGTCGCGGTGTCGCTCGTGTATACGCATTATTCGCTCTGGACATTCTACGTGCCCGCTACAACATGACATTGGACAATATTTAGCAAAAATAGTCCTGCTTAGGGACTATCTCAATTGGCGGGAGATTTTCATCTTTTAATTTATAGCCGAAGCACACTTATAAATATATGTTTCAAATAAGTTTACAACTGGTCTCTTCATTACCATACATAATATTATAACAGTGCCATGTGGTGATGACATAAGACCTTCCATAACCCTATTTCGTCCAGTGGGTATCGTAGAAGCGACTACGCAAAATAATAGAAAATTTTATACCCTCCATAGATGACGGTGTAACCAAGCCTTACACGCCGTTCGTAAAATAAGCACATCGGCTACGAGAAGAACCGTCTGTGGCGGCACCAACCGAAACACACCGAAGCCAAAATCGCGCTATTAAAATTCCGAAGTACTGCAATATATATAGAAAAAATAGCTCTGTACAATCACAGGGAGCGTCGGCCGCTTCCTGGGCTGAAACCATACCTTGAAATCTACCATTTATCTTATTACGGCCAAATTGGTGACCCGACGTGACGGCACGGTGCGTTGGCGGCTTCCCGAGCTGATCACTTTGACCGGGGGCAGATCTCCCCATTAATTCTAAGGCCAAATTTCACGTCCATAAAGAAGAAGATATAATATTGCAGTCATTTAAGCACTGGCACTTAACGGAAACAGATGAGAGTACTTGTATGTCTAACTTAAAAATATTCCGCAAACATTATGTCGAATTTCACTGGAGTAGCGTGAGGGTTATTTCTTCATCATCTCTTGGAAACAAGAGGCAACCTATGTCATTAGGCCATGTTAGATGCTTATTATAGGCTGTTTTTTCACTTTTCTTGTTGTAATATCCCAATATGCTAGACAGTGTTCTCAATAAAAAAAAACTACTCACGGTTCGCAAATGTTCTTATGCTTCAACATCGCTTCGTCGTATACGTAGCATACGGGGTGTTGCGGCAGCCTCAGATCTGTCACTGAAAGTATCAATATATTGTTCTATAATATATCATCATTACAGCACATCATTAGTCTACTACTGAAGTCTCCCAAGAAATGCTACAAAGAACAGTCCTGAGCCACCAGCTTCCATCGACTTCTTGCATCTCTTACCAGGTACAATATTTAAAACATAGTAAGTTAACAAACCTGCCCGAAACCTATCCTTTGTTTATTTGCAATTTCAATTTTGATATTTCAATAACATAAAGCTGGACTCAAGTTTATTATGTACACAATGTGTGCAAATTTTATGAACAGCTCGACCAAATTGACGATATATTGAAAATTGTCAAATCAAGAGTATCTTTAACCGACGAGCGTTTATGCGTAGGTATATGGATGTGGAGGAAGCGAGAGAGGTGTGTCAGGATCGTACCAAATGGAAGTCCATAGTCTCTGCCTACCCCTCTGGGTGACAGGCGTGAGTGTTTATATTTTTTATATATTTTTGCTTGGCAGTAAACAACTTTAATACATTTAGATTAACAACACACACGAAAAAATTTCAAAAAATAAAAATACAGTCGGAAATAACATAAGAAATTCACATAATACTATGCATTATTTATCTATGATGCATTACCTACGGTAATTCGTAAAGACAAAAACTGAGAACTATTAAATTAATTTATGTTATTATTTTCATTGTAAAAATAATAAGGATTTCAGTGATATTTCTTAACATAGGTTTTAATCGAAAACTATGTATATGTAACTAATTTTAAAAGTAATTAAGTTAGTTAAAGACACTGGGCAAATTTTCATAAAATTTGTAGGTATTTGAGGTAAACACAATATATGATTACTTCATATATCATATGGTGGAAGAAAGAAAGAGACAAACCATGTGGCCTCAAGTGGGTAGTAAGTTTTAATTTATGACGGCTATAGGTTTTAGGCAAATAAGAAATAAAGTTACATATTTGAAATAAACTACAAATCACGTTGACAAAGTGCGCACATAAATAATAACAGCGTTTTCTTAGTCACATTAAACAAAATCAGTGTTAGATTGTCGAAAATAACGTTAGCGGTTTACAAAACTAAGAAGTAGTCATCTCGCCCGCCCGCACTAGGCTAAAGGAGCGGATAATAAGCCGTAACTTAGTGGCCGCAGAGCTCGTCTAGTAGTTACTATGTAAGTCTTGGCTCTAATGTTCTAAAAAATAGCTTACCCAGTCTTAAATGATTTAACCTATTCAAAATCTTCCTTTTAGTTTCATCGTCTTGTACAGGATAGCAATTTCTGGTAGCGAATTTTTCGGGCCTCGTTTCATCTCCCTCCCACTTCAACGTGACCGTATGTTTCTGTTTCTCTCCGTCACACACGTTAGGTATCGAATCAATGCTGTACGTGGGTTGGAAGTTGAAGCATCGCCAGTATGGCTTGTGTGCGTAGATGCAGTTTAGTATTGAATCACGTATTCTGAAAAAGTAATTTAGGTTTTATATATATATATATACCGGGTGTTTGAAAAACGCTCCCGAAAACAAAGACAGACGATAGTACTAACTATACCTTAATGATACCTGAATGATAATGGGTGAGATATAAAATAGATTCTGATGAAAAAAAAATCATGTTTTCGCAACGTTTTATTTTATTAACTTTATTCACACTCCATCGTGTTAGTACAGCTAAATAACACGATAATTTCATTAAAAAATCATGAAAATTCTTAAACATTAAACCAGCTATGGAATTACTGAATTACAATCAGCTGATCAGGGGTCAATGTACACGTGGACGCCGAACTCTTATAGGTCCCGTCACGCAAAAAGAACGCTGGCCTTGAACCTGAGCACTGAGCGATTTATCGATCAAATTAGTGGTACGAAGAGGGCGCGACGGGGAAATGCTTGCCAGTATTAATGTGCGCGCATGCTATTGGGTCATGCTTCCCGCGATTTGTTGGCTTCCAAAATACAACACACACACAGCTTACTTTATACGACTCGCGACGATGGTTTTAAAAAGGAAGGAAAGAAAAATTATTTATATCTACTGTTAAATTATTATGACTGAACTAGTGAACGAAAAGGTAAATAGAAGGTGAATGGGGAAAATTCGCATTGATGATGATGATTCTGATGACGGAAGCTCAAGCGAAGATGAAAGTGATGATGAAGTAGCATCCAGTAACACCAACACACCATCAACATCTGGCTTCCATGTTCCAACGGCATAATGGACGGCGTATCACCCTTAGCTTACTACTTTATATTTTACGATAGAAATAAAAAATAATGCTCAAGTAAACATTATCCATATTTAATTCCAACCTCTTCCAAAGTTCTAAGTAGCTAGTAAACTACCTATTATGATTCTACAATAAAACAATTAATTACTATTATATTATAAAACAATAGCCTAAAACTCGCTCGCTCGGTGCGAAACAATGCCTAGCCTACTCACTCTACCCTTCCCTTTCACACACGCGCTACCGCAGCCCGGCCGGCTCGTGTCGCCTCGCGCTGTGGAATTTACACATGTCAGATTTGCCAACATGTGGGGAATTCCGAAAATTGCAGGGAATTTAAAGTTGGTTGGAGATTTTATGGGGATTGGTATTATGCGAGGAAAATACGAGGATTTTGAAAATCGATAGCCAGGGCCAAGTCAGAACTTTTTTTCAAGAAATCAAAATAACTATCTTAACATTTTGTTAGGTTACTTATGAATATCGAATGATGCCCTTTTTTTTAATTATCTTCATTGCACCACATTTAATTTTCGGATTTATTTCAGCAACTTTTTTTATCATTGAATGCTTTACATTTCTTCATTCTTTAATTTTAAAGAAAAAAATTGTTAGTTAAAAAGTAAATCTTATAAAATTTATTGAAAATTGATTAATTTCTTAAAATTAAATTGAAGGGAACTTGTGGGAAATTTGTTGAAGTTTTGTCCTTAAATTGAGGAATTTGACATGAATTTTCGGGGAATTTGACAAATTGGTGTTGGCAACGCTGCCATGTTGCAATCACTATAAAACTTGCAAGTAATCTATACAAATAAATAAAATTGAAGTGTCTGTTTGTAATGTCAAAATTACAGTTTTTTACTGAATGCATATGAAAGTAAATATGATACTTATAACTTAAATACAGTTGTTAAAATTTTTATCTGTCTGTTCCGGCTAAGCTCCGAAACGGCTGGACCGATTTTGACAGAACTTTCACTGACAGATAGCTGATTTCATAAGGAGTAACTTAGGCTGCTTTCATTTTAGAAAAAGAATTAGGGTTCCGCGTGAAAACATAAAAAACCTAACGCGCGAGCGAAGTCGCGGGGAACAGCTAGTTTTTAATAATTTTGACGTACCTCTTTTTAAATGCAATGTCTTGATCGGATTAAATACGGAAAGACAATTAAAATAAAGTAAAAGTATTATTTTTTACATTAATTCTGGTAGATTAATTAACTGTCGATCATAATTGAAATTGATTTTAACTATTAAATTATTCAGTACCATTTCATTTCTATTTTCTTATACAAAATCAAAGATAACGATGAAATAGTGTTTATAATTGAGTAAGTGAGTACTGAGTACCCAATTAGGTACGTTTATTAATTTCAATATAAAATTAGTAGTAAAGAACTGCTTGTTGCGTGAGGGTACAATTGATTGAGTAATTGTATTAAAAATGACAACCGTAACTTCTAAATTCCATATGAAGATCTAGTCGTAGGGATAACTAAACTTATAAATAAATTAAACGTTGGCAATGTCGTAACCATTTAATGGTCTGTGGAATTGACCACTGCTTCAAGGACGTTACGGCGCACGAGTCATTTGTTTTGGCAGGATTGATTATTAATTTTTGTTTTTGAGACAGTTCCGGGCTTAGCTTTCCATTGACGCCCGTCGAGTTGGTTACAGAAAGGATACATTATTATAAGTACACAGATAAAGTTTCATCATGCGGAAACGCATACTTTTTGAGAAAAAAATTATTGAAAATCAATTATTTTTGCAATATTTATGTCAATTCCTACCGTAAAACTGACGCTATTTTGTATTGTTACTGTCATCGTCAGGAGGGATGTCGATTCTTTCCGAAAAAGATCGATTTTTAAATCGATTCGAATCGTAAGCTTTCGATTCACAAAAAATCGATTTCTAAAATATCTATATTTTTTCATGTTTGTATTTATAATGTAAATATAAATCCATTTTATGAAAAACAAGAAAGATACCATAATAAATGATCTCTTATTGAAATTTGTTTTATTTTAACAGTACCTATTAGGGCAGATAACAAATAAAATAGGTTAGGTTCAACTTATGTCAAAGAATCGAATTGATTGAACCCGATACCACCTGGTACGAGTCTGTCCTACCCCTAGAGTGGTTTTATAGACCCGGAGGCGCGTAGGGGGAGCAGCCTCCGCCTGCTGTAACAAATCGTATTTGTTACGCAAAGGCGTAGAGGCTGCTCTTCCCGCAGCGCCGGAGACGTAGCAGTTTCAAAATAGATACAGAAATCCTTCTGAATCAGTCCCACTTTTTTTATGATGAAGATGATTTTTTTTTCATAAAATGGATTTATATTTACATTATAAATGCAAACATAAAAAAAATTTAGATATTCAGAAATCGATTTTTTCGGAATCAGCTTCAATTAAAAAAAATCGAACTTTTTCGGAAAGAATCGACATCCCTACTGACAACGACAATACAAAATGGCGTCAGTTTTACTATTTTTATTTTTAATTGACATAAATATTGCAAAAATAGTTGATTTTCAATTTTTTTTTTGGTCTATGGCCAACGGTCGAATGGTTAACACGTACTTGTGAGTGCTTTTCGGTATTTGGTTAATTTTCCTTAATTTCCTTATTTAGTGGTGGTGGATTCCTCTGCTGTAAGTAGACTACGTTTATAAGATATAGTTATTTCGAACAATACACCCAATTATGGGTGACGAAATGGGGTCTCCCCGTGAGAAACCCCCTGACCCTCCCGATGAAGACATGTGCTTTGGATTAAGTGACAATAATGATTGCGACCGTGGTAAAAAAAAGACACGCTGAGACTCGATCATTTGAACCAGTAATATATAAAAAGAATTCTGTAATTGATTTAACAGCGTCAATAAACACAATATATAAACATCCCTGCCTAGAACAAAATCTTAGAATGTATGGACCAAATGATCAACTCTAGGTCTGCTGTCGACCTAACAGCTTGTTCTTCTAGTCTAGCCCCTCAGCTTTCTTGGAAAACTCTCAATCAAACATATGGAAGTGATCACTTTCCCATTCTTATTACCAAACCCAATGCGGTTATTCCTTTACCCTCTACTATGCCCCTTAAATATAAGCTCCAAGATGCAGATTGGACTAGTTTCACAAAATTTTTAGATACTAAATTTGCCCAAATGTAGGTTGACTCCTCAACCAACCCAATAACTTCTTACTCTCTATTGGTACAATATATAACTGAAGCAGCTGACTTATTTATCCCAACCAAAAAACCCAACAGCAAAAACCTATCCCCCCCTCCATGATGGGATGCTGAGTGCACCACTATGATTAAAAGGAGAAAAGCTGCAGAAAAGCTTTATAATCACTATATGACAACCGATAATTTTATACAATTTCAAAAAACCTCTGCGCAAACAAGGAGACTTCTTTCCAAAAAGAAAAAAAAGTGGATGGAAAAAATTTTGTGAATCCATGTCCCCTAATACACCAGTAACAATAGTTTGGAAAAATATAAAAAAAATTCGTGGCTCCCTTCTTTCTGATACCAACATTTCTGATAACTTTACCATGGTTAGAAGTCTTCTCTGATATGTTAGCCCCTCCTTTTGTCCCTAATGAATATGCAATATGCCCACCCATTCCAGTCCCGTCTAACATCAACAATAATGAGATAATCTTCTCATTGTTCGAATTACAGTCTGTGTTATCTGGCTTAAAATCCTCTTCTCCAAGAGAAGATGGCATACCCTATGCATGTTTATGTAAATTAAGCCTTAAGGGTAAATTAATTCTCCAAATTCTGAACAATATCTACGAGTACATATCTAATATTCCTCTGTCTTGGTCAAACCAAATTGTTATACCTATCCTTAAACCCGGAAAAGATCCCAAAGAAGCTTCTTCATACCGCCCAATTGCACTTTCATCTACTTTTTGCAAAATTTTAGAACATTTAATTAAAAACAGACTTGAATGGTTTCTGGAACATAATAACATCCTTGCAAAAAGTCAATTTGGTTTTCGTAAAGGGAAAAGCACATTAGATAGTTTGAGCATACTAACTACAGATAATAGGCTGGCTTTTTCTAAAAATGAATACTTGGTGGGTTGTTTCCTGGATATATCATCTGCCTATGACAGTGTTCTTCTTCCGGTGCTCAGGCAGAAAATGCTTCATCTGAACATCCCTGCGAAGACTGTACACTTCATTTACAATCTGTTCATGGGACGATCTATCAAAATTCGCAATAAAGGAATGTTAAGCTCGCCCTGAACAATTTTTCATCCGTGAGGACTAAGATGGAATGCCTCATTTCCAGTAAAAAGGGCCTCCGGCCACCTGCACTCACCAAGCGAAACGCAGAGGTAAACCTCTACTTCACGCTGGTTTTCTGTGAGGTCGTGGTACCACCACGGTTCGAGCCGGCCCATCCGTGCGACAGCTAAAGCTGCCGCGTGGCTCTACCACTGTTATATTAGGCTTACTGACCATGGCCTCTCTCTTTCAGCTTCTAAAAGTAAAATAATAACCTTTAGTAGAAAACGTGTTATCTCTACTATTGATATCTCATACAATGGTGAATCTATTCCAGTTGTTAACAAAGTAAATTTTTTAGGTATTTACTTAGATTGTCATATGACCGGTACTGCTCACTTTAATTACATCAGTGACAAATGTGAGAAAGGTGTTAACATTCTTAGATCTCTTTCAGCCGTATGGTGGGGTTCTCACCCCATGTGTCAAAAAATCCTATACAATGCCATCATCCACAGTCACTTCGACTATGGCTCTTTTCTTCTGGAGCCCTGCAACAAATCGGCCCTTAATAGGCTTGATGTCATCCAAACAAGATGTTTACGTATTATCACAGGCGCAATGAAATCAACTCCTAAAAATGCTTTACAAGTAGAATGTGCTGATCCCCCTCTCTCTTTACGAAGACAGTTTCTAACTGATAGATTTCTCTCAAAAACACTACAACTAACATCTCACCCCTTACATCGTAAACTAGAATCTTTGCTACTATTAGCTGTAAACAACTCCTATTGATCTAATAAAAGCTGGCCCCCTATTCTTAAATCTCTAAATAGATTTAAAAATATTGGTTATCCTTGTGTAACATCCCTAATTCTACCCTATTTTAAAACCAGCTATGAAGCTATATTACTAAATCCTAAAATCACTCTGAATTTAAACATTAATAAAAATTCCCCAACTGCAAACAGAACTTTCTACAACCTTGTGGCAAAAAAATGGTCCGATTGGCTATATATTTTTACTGATGCTTCCAAATTGTCTTCATTCAAATGTGTCGGTTTTGCAGTCTGGATCCCCAAATATAAAATTGTCCTTAATTATAGATGTCCTCTTCAGGCTTCTGTTTTTACTGGGGAAGCCGTAGCCATATATGAGGCTATATCCTATATTCTTTCCCATAAAATTCCTAAGTCAGTTATATTTACTGAATCAAAAAGCTGCCTAATGTCATTACAGAGCAATATATTTAAAATGAAATCCATCTCCCCATTAATACTGAAAATTAAGGAACTCATTCTAAATTGTAATAAGAGTGGGCTTGATGTAGAGATTGTGTGGATTCCCTAGTCATTGTGGCATAGAAGGAAATGAACAGGCTGACTCCTGGGCCAAAGGAGCTGTTGATACTGGCTGTCCTTCTCATTTAATGAATTACTCTCATGATCTAATGTCATTAGCTCAAATTGAATTAAAGAACTCTTGGGACAGAGAATGGAGCATATACAGACATATTAAAGGTTGCTACTTTGGTAAAATTCAACCCCAAATTCCTCCAAAACCTTGGTTTTTTAAATTTAACTTTTTGAACAAACAAATCACATCTACAATCTGCCGTTTAAGGCTTGGGCATGCCTGCACTCCTATATTTCTAGCTAAAATTAGAATCAAAGATCATTCCCTCTGTGAATGTGGTCTGGATGAAGGTACCCCAGACCACATTTTCTTTAATTGCCAAAATCACCCAATTTCTTTAATGACATTCTTCCCAAAACAATCCCTCGACCAGTGAATATCAATTCCCTCTTAACTATCCCCAATTCCATATATGTCAATATGATCTCAAAATATATTAAAATGTATAATATTAAACTCTAATTATTGTGTACTAAATTTAGCTTAACCTAATTTTCTATTCCCTGCCCAGGCTAATTCTCTCCTATAACTAGATGTTTGCTCTATATTGTGTGATCCATAATTCATGTATTTAGTTGCTTTGTTTTTATACACATTTTCACCTAATAACCGCTAACTCCTTTTCCACCGAAAAGCCTCAAGACAGACCAAAGACCGGAAATTGGCAGAATTATTGTGATATAACCACAATACCAAGGGCCATATGGACAAAATTAAAAAAATTTTTTTTTTCAAAAAGTACGTGTCTCCGAATGTTGAAACTTTGCGCGTGTGTTTATAATAATGTAACATTTCTGTAAAAAAAAAATGTCAACCTCCAACTCGACGGATGACAATGGGGATTGGCATAAATATTGCAAAAATAATTGATTTTCAATTATTTTTTTTTCTCAAAAAGTACGCATTTCTGCGAATTGAAACTCTGCGTGTGTGCTTATAATAATGTAACCTTTCTGCAAAAAAATATCAACCCCCAAGTCGACGGACGTCAATGGAAAGTCGTACCCAATTCCATGTTGACTGTCACGTGCGCGTGAGCGACAGTTCAATTGTTTTGTTTATTACATTCTTGTTGTTACGTTTTGTTTTAATACTGCCGAACGCGTAGGTACGTCGTTTATAGTGCTCGTGAATATGGCAACATGTTAATGTGAATTGGATAATCTCATAAGATTTAGATCGGTAAGCTGTTTCATACCTATTTTTTTTTAAATAACTTAGTACTGAACTCATCTGAATAGGTACATAACTGAATACATCAGAATAATAAATATATACCTACACAAAAAGCACGACTCTAACCTTGTTAACATTTCATTTAAGTATTTTCTTATGAGCGGGGAATCGAACCAAGTATTTGGTTTATTTAACCTGTTAATAAAGTTTCTAAGTAGAGATAAGCACAGTGGCCAAATAGTAGGTTAAGTAGATTTAAGTATTTAGACAAGCGTCGTAAATTATTAGGTATTGTGGTACAGTCGCTAAATGCGGGCCGCGCGTATTCGGCGTCCACGCGTACATTGACCTCTAGTCAGCTGATTGTAATTCAGTAATTTCATTGCTGGTTTAATGTTTAACTATTTTCATGATTTTTTAAATGAAATTATCGTTTTATTTAGCTGTACTAACACGATAGAGCGTGAATAAAGCTAATAAAACGTTGTGAAAAGATGATTTTTTTTTCATCAGGACCGATTTTATATCTCACCCATTATTTCGGGGGCGTTTCACAAACACCCGATTATATATATTGAGTTAACGTATAAATGTAGAGTAACATGCAATAAACTTCTTATGTGGTAGAATCAAATTATACAAGTCCGAACGATAATCAGCGCGACTTATGCGCAATAACTGTCACCGTTAGACTTTTGTGCCGCTACTTATAGTGTAATATGACCGCAGCAGATTGAGTTGGTTCAATCAGGGTACAACCTCGCTGAGGCAGAATATCAGTGTGAAACAATAGCGCTATGCTGCTGTGTTACCTAAGTTGAATGACGAAAACCGAAGATCCTTTTTACCGGTAATGCTTAAAAGTTAAATCTTAGTTTTCATGGGTGATATGTTTCTGCGTTTTGATTTTTAATCGAGGATATATGAATCCGCTGCACTGTTACACTTTTTTCTAATAAAAAATAGCTTTTAATAAAAATTAAAATTCGATTTCAATAAACTAAAAAGAATAAAATAAGTTACACATTCAACAATCTTAATGACCTCTAGTTACATTAAAAACTTCATCCATTAATTTGTCAGTCTTAAAGATGAAATTTTTTCTCCAAATTTAAATGGGATCACCCCTGAAGTATAATTTAAAATAAAGAAGCATGAAAATCGATAAACATACAAAAAAGAGCACACAGTCGAATTGCAAGCTACCTCCTGTCTTTAAAGTCGTCTAAATAAGGCGGTAAGTAATCAAATGTAAGCAAGGTTGCACTCACGAATCGCTGGGTTCCTGGGTAGCAGTGAGCATGGGTGGCGGGTGTCCCAACAGCGTGCGCAGCGTGAGCGCCGCGGCCTCGGCCAGCGACGGCAGGCAGTAGCCGCCCTCCAGCACCACGCACACCGCCGCGCTCACGCACATCAGCATGTGCACCAACGACCCGTAGCACGCCGGAGTCACTTCCATTTCACCCTGACACCATGCCGTTCCAAATTACCAATTCTACTAAACTATATAGTACAATGGAATTTAATACTTTTACTCAATATAGACTATAAGTATACGTATTGAAAAGGATTTATGCTTTTACTACTGGTTAGGAGCGTTAACGGTGGTAGAGCCACGCGGCAGCTTTTATTATAGCACGTATGGGCCGGCTCGAGCCGGGTTGGTACCACGACCTCACAGAATACGGGCATGAAGTGGAAGCTCTGCTTCTGCGTTTTGCCTAGTGAGCGCAGGTGGACGGAGCCCCAATTTCCCCAGGAGGGTATGCACGGCCACGCTACTCTACTCCTGAGCTACTCTAAGCTAAACGCCATCCACTACCATCTCGAGGCGGCGAAGCCGGCTTGCTTGTGCCTCGGCCTTGAGTTTACGTATGCCTTGGCATATGGACTGACACACCTGGTTACTTCACTTACGCGGATTCCAGATGTGGAGGATCATACTCCTCCTCTGTTGGACCTTTTGCTGACCTCTCATCCGGACGGATATTAGGTTTCCGTCGATGCCTCTCTCGGCTTTTCAGACCATTGTCTGATCCGGAGTGTGGTGCCACTCACGCTCCCCTCGCGGTTGCGTTCTGCACGTTGCCGCCGTGTTCGGCATTACCGGTGGGACGGAATGCGGTATTTCTTTGCATCCTACCCATGAGGGCGGGTTTGCTTCTCGTCGGATGATCCCAACGCTGTTGCTGACTCTGTCACTGATGTCGTGCTACAGGGAATTGAATTATTTATTCCATCATCTGTGGTACCCATCGGAGGCAGATCTCAGCCTTGGTTTGGTGCTCCTGTAAGACTACATTAAGCAGTAAGCAGGAGTGTTATCAGGCCTGAGCTGAGGCTTCGGCGGCTCGAGATGTAAACACCAGCGTGCTTAAAAAGAAGTATAACTTTGCCTCCAAGTCCTTCAAAAGAGTTATTACCAAAGCAAAGTCAGAGCACATAGGCAGAATTGGCGAGAAATTAGTTCACCTTTCCTCGGGAACCCGTGCATTCTGGTCTCTCGGCAAGGCTATCCAAGGGAATTTCTGTAAGCCATCATTAACATCACTGCACAGGGAGGACGACTCACTGGCCCAAGCCCCAAAAGAGAAAGCCGACCTTTTAGGCTCCAACTCGACTCATGATGACGGGGGGGAACACACCGCCGACCATCCCACGGTCGGGGTGCTCCATGCCGGATGTGCGGTTCTCACAGCGCTCGGTTCACAAAACACTCCTCTCCCTGAACATCCACAAGTTGAGTGGGCCTGACAGAATCCCCCCGATTGTGTTGAGGACGTGTGCTCCAGAGTTGGCACCGGTTCTAACGTGTCTTTTGCGGTACTCCTACTCCCTAGGCATAGTCCCGAAATCATGGAAGACAGCTTTTGTCCACCCGATCCCTAAAAAACTGCGACCGCTCAGACCCGTCCAACTACAGGCCTATCGCCATCACAATTTAATCCATTATAAACTGCCAGCTCATGCGGAACCTTGAGGATCACCAGCTGATTAGTGACTGCCAATACGGTTGTCGTCGGGGTCGATCAGCTGGTGATCTTCTGGTCTACTGACTCATAGATGTGCGGAGGCAATAGAGTCCAAGGGGGAGGCATTGGCCGTTATTTTGGACATTGCGAAGGCCTTCGATCGGGTTTGGCACAAAGCGCTTCTTTCGAAGCACCCTTCCTATGGGCTTCCCGAGAATATGTGCAATTGTATCACCAGCTTTCTTGCAGATCAAAACATCAAGGTCGTTGTAGACGGTGCATACTCCGACTACAAGCCTATTAACGCTGGTATTCCACAAGGCTGCGTGCTATCACTAACGCTGTTTCTTCTGCATATCAATGGTATGTTGCTAACTGGTAACATTCATTGCTATGCGGATGACAGCTCTGGTGATGCTCTATACACCTTCAGTGCCAATATTTCTCGGGAAAACTTCGCCGAGTACCGGAACAAACTTGTGTCTGAAGTCGAGTCTTTGCTGAACAAAGTCTCGGATTGGGGGCGACTAAATCTAATCCAGTTTAAGCCTCAGAAGACACAAGTTTGCGTGTTAACCGCTAAAAAGAACCCCTTTGTCGTATCTCCTCAGTTTCAAGGCACTCCTCTTGTTGCTTCAGCCGGTATCAGAATCCTCATCGTCAACATATCGAGTGAATGTGTAGTTTCGTGGTCAATAGAAATTCCCCTGGTTCCACTGGTGTTGCAATTGTTCAAGAGCGGCGGTAGTCACTTACCATCAGGTGAGGCTCGTTTGCCCACACTCTTATAAAAAAAAAGGAAAAAATCTTTGATCCGAGAACGGGCAACAAACATAACGGGACTCTTTTTTTTAAATCATAGTTTACAATGTAAATGCAATGAGGGATATTAATCTTACGTTGCTCTGAACTGTTAAGTTCAGAAAATCTGTCAAATATTACACATAACGCAGTGACGCCGCGCCGCCATGCTTAGGAGAAAAAATAGACACCCCCATTTCAATATATAATTGTAATTGAGAATGCAACAACAGAAATTCTTATGGCTTCCGGTAGATAGTAGTATTATAATTTTGTATGTATGCCAGATATAAAATAGCCAAGTCAGCATGGGAAAATAATAGGTTGGGGAAAAAGTTTCTTCCTATTTTGTTTGTATAAAATTGAAGTATCTGGCTGGTATTAATATCAATACATATAGGACATTAAGAAAAAGAAAAATAAAAAATAAAAACACTTTCCCGCCATTTGTCAATTGCTTTTGAGTCGGCTAAATGTGTGAATATAACGAAAAAATTCGATATATTCCGAAGTTTTATTGCAAATAAGGAAAAATGCTTTACGAAAAAAAAAATGTGACGTTTATGAACCTAAAGCAGTGTCATGAAGTGTAGCACAAAGTTGGTTCAAGTGTTTTCAGTCCGGGAATTTTGATGTCAAAGATGCAGCTCGCTCTGGTCGCCCTCATACGGATAAAGTCGATGCCATTTTTGAAAAAGTGGAACAAGATAGGCATATTAGTAGTTACGACATAATAGAACAAAACATTTAAGACTAATTTGAAAAAGTCTGGCTATACAAAAAAGCTCGATATTTGGGTACCACACGAGTTCACTGAAAAAAAAATCTAATGAATCGTGTACTCATTTGCGATTCTCTATTGAAACGTAATGCAACCGAACTATTTTTGAAAAGATTGATCACTGGTGATGAAAGTGGATCACCTACGACAAGAACATGCGAAAAAGACCATGCTCAAAGGGTAGTCAAACTCCACAGATTGTAGCGAAACCCGGATTAACACGCAATAGGGTGATGCTGTGTGTATGGTGGGATTGGAAAGGCATCGTTTATTATAAGATTTTACCGCCAGGCAAAATAATCAATTTGAATCTCTACTATCTAATGAAACTCATGCAAGAAATTGAGAAAAACGTCCAGAATTGATCAACAGAAAAGGGGTGGTCTTCATCATCATAACGCCAAACCACACACATCTTTGGCCACTCAGCAAAAATTGAGAGAGCTTGGTTGGAAAGTGTTAATGCATCCACCATATACAGTCCTGAACCAGCAGGGAACTTTAAGGGGCTAATAAAGAAACAAAAAGAAAAAGATGTGTGCGTGTGTGCATGTTAAAGTTGCATGGTTTCAGCTTTACTTGCAATACACGTAGCGCTCCGTTTATCTTTCTTTGTTGGTCTGAGTATATTACAGAATTTAAAAACCTGCTAAAAGGGTTACTTAATAACTTTGTACATCCAATGACTCACTGAGTACTCAACTCATGGTTAAATAGTTAAGATATTAAAAGATAAAATTTTTAATTATTTAGGATAAAGCTTGAATGAACGTACACACACGCACACACAAACACATATTAACTAGGCAATATGTACTAAAATGATCACAAACCTTCTCATCCCCTAAAGCAGCATCAAAACCGGCAGACACGATAAGGAGCTCTGGCGCATACTGAAAGAGACAGATATAAATTGAAATAGGGAGATAATATACCTCTGGGCAGCCGATGGCAGCGTCGTAGCCCGCCGATATTATGATCAGCTCCGGTTGGTACTGGAGTTGCCGGAAAAAGAAATTTTGATTAAGGATAAATTACATATTTACGTACAAAATTAGCCTTTACGTATGATATGAATTAAGCATTAAATGAATCAATTATTTGTGGCAAATAATTGCGTACAATATCATCTTGGCTTCCTATTACATAAATAAATAAATAAAATTTATCATACACAAGAAACAAAAATATTTTTCCTACGCCTTATGTTCATGACCATATTTAAATTATTAAGTTAAACCATTATGTTATAAATTATTTTAACTGATTGAGATTCCATAAATTCATAAAGGGTCAATCGGTCAGCAAAAACGTTGTGAATTGAATCGCACACAGAGGAGCGCGCGAACGGGTTGTAGCCCGAAAATCACATTCAATTTGGGATACATTCAAATAAAAATAGAAGTCCAAAAACTGCAATAACTGTATATCATTATTTATATATTTGAACTTAATTTTAAAAATTGGCTACACTTTGAAAAATAACCCTGTATATAACCAATTCGCCCGCCAAGTGATTATGTCAAAAAGAAACAGAAAGTTTATTTTTACAATATAGATTATACGTAGGTCACTCAATAAGTTTTAAAATGCCCGACATTTAAAAATGGAACGCACCCGTGTTATATGTTTCTAAAAAGCAAATTTATTTAAAAATAGAACTCCATAAGCCAATTCCTCAATAATAAAAAAAAAAAAACAAAGTTCTATTAATTTTCCTGCAACGTTTCCCGCGCTTTTCATTTAAAACGATTGATCTTAACCGTGAAGGTTTGCACGCAATGATAATATTATGATTTCAAATTTGGTTTAACCGAACAATAAGTTTACAATGGTTACAATCAGCTTTTTTTTGGGCGCATTTTTTATGTATGTTACATAATTAACCACACAAAACAAATAGAAATAGCTTGGTAGCAATCACCTCATTACCAGGGGTTATTATCATCCATAAATTCCTTAATATTATAATAACCCTTTTTATTCAAACTTTGATTAATGAAGTTTTTGAATTTCGAGCAGGTCAATTTCTGTATATTTTCTGGAATTTTGTTGTAAAAGCGTATACATCGCCCCAAGAATGAATTACTGACTCGGTGGAGTCGAGTTACTGGTACTACTAACTTGTGTCTGTTCCTATGGTAGCCATCATGATTCATGACTTACCTCCAAAGCCATGGGCAGAAGAAGTTGGTGCCATATGGCAAGATAGTCCGCGTCCGTCATTCCCGTGCGGTTGAGAGGCACGTTGAAGTTGTATCCGGCGCCTAAACCGCGCCCGACGTAGTGGAAGTCAGACTGTCGCAAGTTCGGCCAGAACGCACCGTGTTCGTAACGATGGATCGAGAAGTATACCACCCTGCAAAAAATTTAATTCGGTATGTTGGATAATTCTTACTTATACATACTTATACAGGGTTATTTTGCAATAACCGGCCAAATTTACAGAGAAGGTTCAGAATAAGAAATATAGGTAAACGGTGAAGAAAAATATTCTTTTCCTCTAAATTACTTAATTTAAAAATCTCAAAAATTTTGTCCTTTTTATCTATTAAATTCAAAATGCGTGGTAATGTATTATTTTTAACTGATTTTACTGCGCACGAACACATTCTTAAGGGTCGATCGGTAGGCAAAAACGTTGTGGCCCACAAATCACATTTAATATGGGATAATTTCAAATAAAAGTAGAAGCCGTACTTACTCATATTTTCGAAAGCTGCAACATCGGTGTATCATTAATTATATATTTGAACTTAAGTTTAAAATTTGGCCACTCTTTGAAAAATAACCCTGTATACATATAAATAAAATTGAAATTGAAGGTCAGATTGTTTGCATGCCATTAAGACATGAATAATCATTTTCTGCCGAGTTCCAAAAAGGAGACGGTACTCAATTCGACTGTATGTTTTTTTATGTGTGTTACCTTATAACTTTTTACTGGGTGAACCGATTTCGATGATTCTTTTTTATTTGAAAGCTGGTACTTTCGTGTGGTCCCATATGAATTTGATCAAGGTCAGACCAATAGTTTTTGAGTTATTCTTAATAACTTATATTGAAGTCGGCTGTACAAAATTTTTAATTTTTATATCGAAAAACTGTACCGATTGTGATGAAACTTCACGAACAGATAGAGAGCAATGCCATTAGTGATCTAGAATATATTTTATGTAAAAACTTGGAGATTTTTATTGAATTGTAAAATAAATGGTCTTTAATGAAAAACCAAGCAGAGCCGGGGCGGATTGCTAGTATTAATAATATAAATGCGAAAATATTTTTTTACAATTAAAACAAATGAAATTTCACTCACCTGTTATCATCATAAAACATCTGCTGTGTTGCTTGCCCATGATGCACATCCCAGTCTACAATAAGTATTCTGAAAAAAAAGTTTTATTGCTAGATACTACATCATTTATGTAAGGACATAGCACTGTAACTCTAAGTTATAATTTTATCTTTTTAAATAAATTAAATTTTTATTTCATAAACATTTATATTCACATTAAATACGTTATCAAAGTTTATGTATAAGGTAGGCGTTTTACATACATAAATATTACCGAACCGTCTGTCTCTATATTTCGGTATTCTAACATACAATAAATAATTTCTCTACCTTTTGATAGAGAAATATAGAATTTGAATATTTTCAAACAATTGTTTTATGTTTTATAAATAATGCTTTAAAATAAATAACAATATATAACATATTCACTGGTCTAGTTGCACCTTAAGAGATTGCATGAACCCATTTCGTCCCGTGGGTGTCGTAAGAGGCGACTATGGTATATGACAATAAAATCTCATGGTTTCCGATAGATGGTGGTACAACCATCTCGTTTACGTCAGGCGTAAAATACTCAAGCAAGCGAGGGGAAACATCGTCAGAGGTATGAAACGTCTGGTACTACATTTGGACTCCAGCAGTAGACTCGTACGTGGTAGAGTCAAGTTGTAGTACGTGGTAGAGGCATCTAGCCATGCTGCATCTATATTAGTAGTATAGTTGTAGCACGAATGGGTCGGCTCTACCGGGGAAGGACCACGCTCTCACAGAATACCAGCGTAAAATAGCAGCTTAACATTACTGTGTTTCGTATGATGAGAGTAGAGAACCAGAGGCCCCTTGTTACTGGAAAAAGAGGCATTCCATCTTAGTCCTCATGGGTGACAACACATCTGCATTTTTTCGCAAACGAGGATAAATGTAGATGTCTATGGGCCACAGTAACCACTTACCATCAGGTGGACTGTGTGATCGTTTGTCACCCTATCCTATAAAAAAGAAAGACTCTTACGGGCTGATGAAGTATGTATTATTACAAAAAATACTAATCTTCCCCTGCAGTGTAGTGACGGCGTAAAAGATACCACGACTAAATATTATCCGTAGGGTGTCGTAGGATGCTATAGAGGGAAATAAAACGGGTGGACAGCGTCATCTTTCTAAAAACAACTCTAAATAAAAAAAAATTGGTTGCCAACTCGCCTCTGTCAAGCGTGGCAACTATGGTAAATATCTCTCTATATGGCAGTTTATGAGGGAGGTTTATGTTTTGCAGTGAGCGTTTAATAATACAAATCCTATAAACTAAAACCGAGACAATACTGACCTAGTTATGCCTCGATGCTCAATGGCGTATTTAGTATTTACACATACTCGAGGCTCAACGAGTCTCTCTGGATTGATGCTGGCCACCATCAGGATTTAACTCTGCCTGCCTTAAAAGCCTTGGGCAGGAGAAGTTGGTGCAATATGGCTAGGTAGTCAGCGTCTGTCATTTCCTTGCGGTGAAGAGGCACGTTGAAGTTGTGTAGTGGCAAAATCGAGGCAATACTAACCGGGTCAAGCCTCGATGCTCGATGGCGTGTTTAGCAGCAAGTGCGACATTATTATAGTAGCAATAACCGCAGGGCTCCGCGCGCATCGCGTGGTGTCCCGGCGGCCGCACGAAAACCGCGCCGTTCTGCACCTCCCCAGACACGATACGATCCACCATGTCGATGGTGGACCCGGCCGCTATCAGTGCCAATTCGTGGGTGCTCTGGAGTGTTGACAATTATTCTATCAACTCACTAATTAATGAATCGTTTTTTTTTAAGGACGACACAAATCACGACATCGGCCGCAGTAACTAATTGTTCTTCTTTTTGTTTTAAAAAAAACATGGCTCTAATTGTATGACAATAATTTAAAATTAAAAATTTTGTATAACCGACTTCAATATAAATTATTAAGACTAACTCAAAAACTATTGGTCAAACCTTAATCAAATTATATAGGACCACATGTGAAGCACCAGCTTTCAAATAAAAAAAGAATCATCGAAATTGGTTCACCCAGTAAAAATTTATGAGGTAACACATAAAAAAAACATACAGTCGAATTGATTACCGCCTCCTTTTTGAAGTTGGTAGAAAACTAAATTAATCTCATGGTGTACCGTCAAAGTTGATTTGATATTCATTAAAACCTATAGCTGTAGCCTGCACACTAAAATGGGTCACTCCCATAGGTATAATATGATATAATCGAAGAGCTTGGCAAGCAGATTGGCAATTGCAGCGCAACACGCTTTTAACGCTGCGTTTCTTTTAGTATACTATCATAGTAGAAATACAGACTATATTATTGTTATTATTCTTGCATTTTTTAATGTTACCTAGAAAATATTACAGTGGCATAAGTGTATGAGCAAATACAAAGGCAATTTCTTGTCCTTCACCACCCAATGTAATGCTTGTGTGAAAAGATCGGAAGCGTGATGAGATACAAAAGTAACAATTAGCTTTTTTATGTATATTACGATATTATTCCAACATACGACCCGCGGCCTATTAACCCGACACTAGATTATGTCATGTTCATTTACAGTCTATACTATATTACTCGAAAATTTTCTTGCAAGGCTTATAATTTTTTGTAGTTCGCTCTCCATCTACACTAATGACATTGTTAAGACATAAATTCTGTACCTATTACTTTGAAAATAAGCTAGCCGATTAAAATATTTTGTTGTTGCTTCTATTATAATGGTATCTAGAAAAATATTTATTAAATGTATCAGTTAAATATTTATGTCATAATAATTTACAGTTAAAAATATAACTGACATATGGTTAGAGTATAACTGTGTTTTGCAGTATAAAAAATCTGCCTACATCATGTTAAGGCCAATGTCTAAAAGTTTTGAGGCTAACTAGCCATCTTAAATACCCATACCAGCAATGAGAGCAATATCCTATGTTTGCTAGTTATTCCACGTTAAATGTGTCAGTTAATAGTAACTTCCTCGAAATGAGAGAAGTTCGATTTCAACATTAGAATATTTACAGGTTGATAAGAAAAACTACAGTGTCTTACTTACGGGATGAATGTAAATGGCATCATATTTTGAGGAAAGTTCTTCTAAAAACTCAATGTTGTTGTTTTGGTGTGTGCTCTCCAACATTTCATAAACTTCAGGTGAATGTAGAGTAATTAGCTCTTCTTTACTTGCTGCTCGTGGTTGGAATTGTTTACATTGTTCTATGAGGTTCAATTCACGACATCTAAAAGAGAGATATTATGCCTATTTATTTCTACCATTAGGTTAGGTGATAAAACAACCTACAGACTACTGGTAATTGTGACTTGGCGTTGTATCCCAACTGGAGCATAGTTTTTGTTTAAAAACAGTTGGATAGTCCTGGTATAACTGGATATTGTCATCATTCTTCTGATACTGAATCATTAACCAATAACCATTATAAGTTGATGCAAGCGGTTTTCTTTAAAAATAAGAATGTTTTTCTCCTTGTGTGGAAGTACAAAAAAAATTTTGGCAGATTTCAATTGTTGGGGCAGCATAAGGGAATCAATTACCCCATATCATCCCATAGGTGTCAAAAAGACGACAGAGGAAAACTAAAACAGTAGATGGGCAGAAGCTTCTTTCTGAAAACAACTCAAAATAATAAATAACTGTGGTTGCCAACCCACCCACCACCAAGTGTGGGCAACCATGTCAAATATTTGTAACAAACTATGGGACTGTGTCAAGCAGTGGACATGTGATGAACAAATGCAAAATTAGCAGCCCAAGAATTTGTATTCTTAATGAGTACACAGGGACAGCGTTTAAACTCATTCACTCAGTTAGTTTCAAAGAAATGTTTTTTGATACATATTAACAGTAAATATCTGGGGAACAGCATTTTGCAGTGTTAGAAAAAATTTTTTTCACAACAATTACACGATTACAATTATAAATATACTAATGTTATTATTTTAAATTTTAAATATTAAAAATAACTATAATATGTTGGTGCAGAGAAGAATTTAAGATAAGGAATATAAAGTAAGATAGAGAGCAAGCTTTGAGTATACACATTCATACAATTGGATATTTAAAATGAAATAACACTCACCTATCAAGAACACTTATTAATCTTTCTGGACATTCTGGGTAATTGTCATCCCAAAGGCACCTATGCTCCACCATACGAGGCTCTGTTACAAAGCCAGTGGGTCCCTTTACTTTTGTTTTTGACTCCATTGCCTGTTTGGTACATGAAATAATGATATTTTGTCTAATATAAAATTCAGATCATTTACAAAATCACTATCCCAAATCTTTAGAAATAAAAATTACATATCACATTGTTTGTCCACGATGAAATCCTAAACTACTGAACTGATTTCAATGTAATTTTGCACAGTGTGCAGTTTGGTCCAACTTGAGATAGGATAGTTTTTAACCCAATAAGTGATAATTGAAGAGGGTTGTCGAGGGCAGAACAACATCTGCCTGGCCAGCTAGTAATGTATAAATATTTTACTAATCTATAAATGTAACTGATTTTTATGTAACTTTTTTAATCTGTAGGTTAAACTTTTTATACAAGTTTTTATCATTATCAGAATTAATAAATATAGTTGCCAAAATAGTTAAACTAACAGATTAGGATTAATAAATAAAAATAAGGATTAATCAATTTATTACTAACTGACTAACCTTGAAGAAAGTAAAAATTATCAATACAATATTATTAGTTTAATATTAGGTTTCAAGGGTTAATTTAGGTAAAAAGGTTTCAAGACATTTTTTTTTCAAAGTTTAATTATATTTAATTATAATATAAATGTACCATTTTGTTTGATAACTTGTTGCCATTTTGTAGGTAGTGACGTAATCCCATTGCTGTTGTAAAAATCTTGGGATTTTTGATTAAAAAATATGACAAGTAGTTTTCAGTCCATCTGAGGGTCAGGACTATATGATGGATGCATTAACACTTCCCAACCAAGCTCTCTCAATTTTGTTGAGTGGCCAAAGATGTGTGTGGTTTGGAGTTATCATGACGAAAGACCACTCCTTTTCTGTTGATAAATTCCAGCCATTTTTTCTCAATTTCTTGCTTGAGTCTCATTAGTTGTTGACAGTAGAGATGCGAGTCGATGGTTATGCCTGGTGGTAAAAGCTCATAACAAACGATGCCCTTCCAATCCCACCATACACACAGCATCACCTTATTGCGTGTTAATCTGGGTTTCGCTACAGTCTGTGGAGCTTGACTACCCTTTGACTTTTACTTTTTCATTTTCTTAAAGTCCTATATGTATTGATATTAAAACCAGCCAGATACAAACAGTACAACCAAAGACATTTTTCTTCAATTTTATACAAACAATATATGAAGAAACTTTTTCCCTGACCTATTAGTAAATTGTACACAAAAACTGGACTACCATTTTTACATATATTCATTCAGTAATTAATAATAATAGCTTTGACTGAACCCTAGATAAATAAATAATTTTGTAAATTAAGTAGTAAACATTGTGTCTTATATTAAAAACTTACGATTTGATAGGGATCTTTTATTACTGTATCAACAATTTGTTTCTTTTTCTGTTGAGCTTTCTTCTTGGCAGCAACAACTGAGGCAGAAGGCTGAAATGACATTAGTTTTATTGCACTCATTATTCAAGTACTCATGATAAGAAAGATAATAAAATTATCTTTTACAAATAACTGTAAAATTCTGTTTACACATACTACTTACGTTATGTTACTCACACATAATTTTTTGTTATACTAAATTTCATAAATAAAAATAACTTCAATGGTTAAAATAACTATGCATAATAAAGGTATGAAAATATTTTAACAATTCTTCTAATAACAATAAATATTTACTTAACAATTAGACAATAACTAATGTGGTTTTTGTAAGATACATTTAATTAAAAGTATCAGCCTGTATATACCATACTGCTGGTTACAAGCCTTCTCTCATTTTTATTTTATGAGCATCATATAGATATATTGTATAGTCTAAATCTAAATTATCTGCGTTGAACGAAAACTACGAACTTTGATAATAAAAGTGATTAACATTCATACTTTTGCAGCGGCCGACATTGCCCGTGTTTGAATCTTCGCTTTACGTGCTCCATTTCTAGTAACTATTGTTGAAGGGGGTGTAGATTTTTTACTATCTCCAGCTGATCGTCGCTGTTGATGCGGTGGCGGCGGAGTGGACTGAATTGTTAAGGAAATAATTATTTAAGTTTTGTAATTTTTTAAATAATCTATTTTAGGTTGTAAAATCTAACCATTATAAAATATGACTGTGAGTGTATACGGTTAAGTTTTAAATTTTACTGTTTTTAGTATTTACTATTTAGAATTAAATACACCTAAACATTATCTGCATTGTACACGGTGTTTTATAAATTGAACAATTCTTGTTGTAATGTAAACTTTCATTATATTTGCGATGACTTTTTATTTGCTCATTTGACGTTTGATGACTTTTGTTGTCACAAAAGCGACGACAACAACAACTGCACAAAGAGCATTTTAATTTTTTAATCACTACGTGTACATACGTACGTTTAGTGATTATATTCTCTTTGGTATGTACGTACTGCATAAGCATCATATTGTTAAGAGTTTTGGCGGGAACTTGACCGGCGACGGTTTGTTGCTCCTGTATTATTGTTTAAATAATGATTTGAAGTGGACTTTGACATGTAAAAGTGGTGCGATTTTGTATATTAAGTGTCTGCGCATGTAAACTATTAGTGAAAACTTTGAAACAAGTACTCTGATGGTGATGTCATTCTCAAAATAAGGTGTCTGTCTGCTTAGCTGTTTGCTGACTCAAGTTGCCGTCAAAATCTCCCAAGGGCTGTACAATATGACGCATCAACATATTGTGAAGCAGTATACTATGAAGGATAATTTTGTAACTTCAGGCTCTTCAGGGATTTAACTTCAGATCCCAGAGCCGTAAAGCCAGTTATAAAAAAAAGCATCATATTAGTATGCGTAAGCATCATATTTGTCTGTGGCTGTGGTGTACTGTGACCAAGGCCGTAGCCAGGGTGGGATCAATCCTCCTTGATCCCCCCCCCCCCAAATAAAAAAATAATATATTACACATCAAAATATTTAATCACTACAAACAAAATTCTCTACCTACTGTTATTTTTATTATGTATGACTTTATGCTCGCTCGGTATTCGCACGACGATACTTAAATATCGGCGTAGCGACATTCGACAAACGCGACAATCAATTAGGGAGCGGCGAAACTAGGTTTTTTTTTATAGGAGAGGGGGAAAACAAGCATGCGCCTCACCTGATGGTAAGTGACTACCGCTGCCCATGAACAACCGCAACACCAGGGGAATTGCAGATGCGTTGCCGGCCTTTAAATTTATATTTTCTTTATACATATTATTGTAAAAATCGCTGGTGGTAAACTATTCCACAAGGAAGTTGTGCGAGGAAGAAAACATCTTCGAAATCGCACATTGATGGACCGCCAATCATCCAGATGGTGTGGATGGTATCGGGAGTTCTGCCGCGATGTGCGTTCGTGAAATTTGGCGGCTGGCATTAATCCGAACAATTCCTCAGAGCACTCCCCGTGGTAAATGCGAAAGAAAATGCAAAGAGATGCAACATCTCTTCGCAGCGCCAATGAGTCGAGCCGATCGGAAAGGACTCGGTCGTCGACGATTCGAGCCGCTCTGCGCTGGATGCGGTCAAGTGGAAGGAGCTGGCACTGGGGAGCCCCAGCCCAGAGATGGGAACAGTATTCCATGTGAGGCCGAACCTGTGCCTTGTAAAGTTGCAGGCGTTGTGCCGGCATGAAATACTGTCCCGCTCTGCTGAACACGCCAAGCTTTTAAGAGGCCAATTTGGCTTTCTCTTCCAAGTGACCACGAAACTGCACGTCAAACTGCACGTTGAAACTGAGGAGATACGACAAAGAGGTTCTTTTTAGCGGTAAACGCGCAAACTTGTGTCTTCTGAGGATTAAATTGGACGAGATTTAGTCGCCCACAATCCGAGACTTTGTCCAGCAAAGAATCGACTTCAGACACAAGTTTGATGCGATACTCGGCGACGTTTTCCCGAGAAATATTGGCAAGGCCGATGTATAGAGCATCACCAGTGCTGTCATCCGCATAGCAATGAATGCTACTGGTTTGCAACATATCATTGATATGCAGAAGAAACAGCGTTGGTGACAGCACGCAGCCTTGTGGAACACCAGCGTTAATAGGCTTGTAGTCGGAGCATGCACCGTCTACAACGACCTTGATGCTCTGATCTGCAAGAAAGCTGGTGATCCAATTGCATAATTTCTCGGGAAGCCCATAGGAAGGGAGCTTCGAAAGAATCGCTTTGTGCCAAACCCGATCGAAGGCCTTCGCAATGTCCAAACTAACGGCTAATACCTCCCCCTTGGACTCTACTGCCTCCGCCCATCTATGAGTTAAGTAGACCAGAAGATCACCAGCCCCCACCCCGACGAAAACCGTATTGGCGGTCACTAATCTGCTGGTTATCCTCAAGGTACCGCATGAGTTGGCAGTTTATAATGGATTCCATTATTTTGGAGAACAAGGGGGTGATGGTAATAGGCCTGTAGTTGGACGGGTCTGAGCGGTCGCCTTTTTTAGGGATCGGGTGGAAAAAAGCTGTCTTCCATGATTTTGGGACTACGCCTAGGGAGTAGGAGTACCGGAAAAGACGCGTTAGAACCGGTGCCAACTCCGGAGCACACGTCTTCAGCACAATTGGGGGGATTCCGTCAGGCCCACTCGACTTGTGGATGTCCAGGGAGAGCAGTGCTCTGCGAAGAACCGAGCGCTGTGAGAACCGCACATCCGGCATGGAGCACTCACATGTCGGTCACTCACCGGGATGGTCGGCGGTGTGTTCCCCCCGTCATCAACAGTCGAGTTGGACGCAAAAAGTGAGCCTAAAAGGTCGGCTTTCTCTTTTGCGTCATGGGCCAGTGAGTCGTCATCTTTGTGCAGAGATGGTAGTGATGGCTTACAGAAATTTCCTTGGACAGCCTTGGCGAGAGACCAGAATGCACGGGTTGCCGAAGAAAGGGGAACTAGTTTCTCGCCAATTCTGCCTATGTGCTCTGACTTTGCCTTGGCAATAACTCTTTTGAAGGACCTGGAGGCGAAGTTATACTTCTTTTTAAGTATGCTGGTATTTACATCCCGAGTCGCCGAAGCCGCAGCCCAGGCTTGATAACACTCCTGCTTACTGCGTAATGCAGTCTTACAGGAGCGACCAAACCAAGGCTGAGATCTGCCTCCGATGGGTACCACAAATGATGGAATAAATAGTTCCATTCCCTGTAGCACCACATCAGTGACAGAGTCAGCAACAGCGCTTGGGATCATTCGGCGAAAAGCAAACCCGCCCTCATGGGTATGAAGCAAAGAAAGACCGCATTCCGTCCCAATCCGCCGTCCTGTAATGCCAAACACGGCGGCAACCTGCAGATCGCAACGGCGAGGGGCGCGTGAGTGGCACCACACTCCGGATCAGACAATGGTCCGAAGAGCCAAGAGGGGCATCGACGGAAACCTAACATGTCCGTCGGATGAGAGGTCAGCAGAAGGTCCACCAGGGAAGGTGTATGATCCTCAACATCTGGAATCCGCGTAGGCGATGTAACCAGTTGTGTCAGACCATATGCCAAGGCAAAGTCATGAACAGATCTCCCCGCATGATCGGTTAAACGTAAACTGAGCCATTCGGCGTGGTGGGCGTTAAAATCGCCAAGGATCACAATCTCTGCGGATGAAACCGGTTGTAGCAAGGAATCTGGAGCCATTTGGACGTGGTCGATGAGTCGGTCTGTTTCAGCATTACTGCTATGAGACCTATAGAGACACCCGTAGACGCGCGGATGGTCGTAGCTGTCTACGCGTAGCCAAAGGATGGACAGGTCCGAACCTTCAAGACTGCCGAGGCGTCGAGAACAGATGTCCTCTCTGACGTATACGCAAACTCCAGCCCGAGGCACAAAGGAGTTCTCCAATTTGTACCCCGGGTAGGAGAGATACGAAGTATCAGCCGGAGAGGACACCTGCGTCTCGGTCAGAAAGAGCAAGGCCGGCTTCGCCGTCTCGAGATGGTAGTAGACGGTGTTTAGGTTTGAGTAAAGTCCCCTGATGTTGCAGAAATTCGCGGATAGCATGACAGGGGTCGCCTTGGTCTTGTTGCTTAGTTTGCCCCGAGCAGTTATTGTGTTTAGCGGAATTTCGCCCCACCCAGAATACGCGGGGCAGCCTGAGCACCCAGAAGAATTGAACCTCCGGTCACCTGCACTCACCAGACGAAACGCGGAAGCAGAGCTTCCACTTCACGCCGGTATTGTGTGAGGTCGTAGTACTAACCCGGCTCGAGCCGGCCCACACGTGCAACAACAAAAGCTGCTGCGTGGCTCTACCACCGTTAAAGTGCTGCGCCAACTACACAAGCAACGCAACTTCGGGGACGTGCTCGAACTGCATTTCGGGAATATTCAATAAGCATAGAATGAGCCAAGTAATTCTCGACGTTTCGTTGCGCCGCGTCTGCGGAATATATAAGCGAGCCGTGGAGCATGGAGAGGCCTCCGCGTCCCCTTCCGTTGCAGCGAGAAGGCCATTCAGGCCAAAGTCAGTCCCACAGGTAGTGTTTAGTGGGAGGCACTTCTTAGTGAGTCCCATATAACTACGCAGGCGGCTGCGTGGTATGCTATGAGCATTCACCACCTCCCTACCCCGCTTCCGGAGAAGACTTCCGAAGATCAAAAAAAAAACGGATAGGCATACCGCTTGCGCCGTCACCCCAGTGCGGTCGTGCGCGGGCGGGGTCCGCTAGCCGACCGACCACCCGTATGGGACATCACCGTACGGGAATTCCTCGGTCGGTTCAATCGAGGAATAGAACATCAGTCCCGTCCCGTCCCGCCGCAGCTAGCGTCGCCGCCCCCGTACGGTTGTGTTAGCTGTCCACGCTCACCATCCCCGTACGGTGAGTGCCCTCCCGTTTTAGCTAACGCCACTGCCCCCCATGCGATTGTGCTAGGTGCCCGTGCTCCCCCCCCCCCCCCCGAACGGGTTCCCGCCTTGTCGTGGCGGGGGGGCTTAGTAGCCGTGGCTTGGTCACCCGCCGTAAACAAAAAGGAACGCCTTGGCTGGCCCGGGGTGTAGGGCCGGCCCGAGGTGGCCACACCGAGTGGGCTTGGCGAGCCCACTTTGGATGTGTGTCGGTGGGCTGCTGTGAGAGGAGTGTCCTCTCGTGGAGTCGCGGAGAAAGAGGAGTGTTGGTATGGCGATGCGCCACTCGCCCTATCCTCCGCGAATCTGACGGGGTCGCACCGTCAATTGATGCGGTGGTGGTGGGTCTGCGGGGGGAGAGGAGTGTCGGTATTACGAGGTGCCGCTCTCCCTACCCTCCGCAGCCAAGTCTTGTTTGGCGGCGGAGACATAGACCAGATCTGCCGCTGGGATTAAGAAGGCTGATGCTTCTGAGTGCTAGTTTTTCCTGGCCCCATGGCCTTCGCGCATCGGACACGGAGGCGTCGGTTGCGCATGTGAATTTGCAGGCCGAGGAGGAGGGCGCGCAATGTGTTCTGGTGCGCCTTACCTGAGAAGGAGTAGTCCTCTCCCGAGGAGAGGCTGCCGTGGGGCCGCGGATGTGTGCGAAAGCGTTCCCGTGGCCCTGCCAATATGCTACGAAGGTGGAACAGCATGGGGTTTTAGTCGGGGGTCGCAAGGCGGGTATGCGTAGGCATTTGCCCATGTAAAAAAAAAGGTGACCGCGCTCAACGTCCCCGTATGGTGGGTGCCGTCCAGCCTCCGCTAGCGCTGCTGCCCCCGTGCGATTGCGTTGGCTGTCCGCGCTCGCCGTCCCTGTACGGTGTGTACCTTTCTTCCCCTTTCCACCTCCGCTGGCGCCGCTGCCTCCGTGCGGTTGTGTTAGCAGACCGTGCTCGCCATCCCCGGGCGGTGGGTGCATTCGCGCTCATGCGAATGGCATCTTCACTTCTCTGGCACCGCCTCCCCCGTGCGGCTGTGTTGGTTGACCCGCCCTCCCGTTCCCGTACGAGTGTGCCCCGTGCCCCCCTTCCCTAAGAGTGGTTGCTTCCGATGCGGCTAAGAGGCCATACAGGCCAAAGCCAGTCCCATAGGTAGTGTTTAGTGGGAGGCACTTCTTAGTGAGTCCCACATAACCACGTAGCTGGCTACGTGGTATGCTATGACCATTCACCACCTCCCTCCCCCGCTTTCGGAGGGTAGCCTTGTATTAGTCGTAAAAAAATACACGGAGAGGTAGTTCTGTCTTGGAAAGTGATCCAATGCGACTAAGGCAATATAAGCGAAGCAGTAGTGCAGTGTGTGAAATAGTATTGAAGTAAGTGGTGTTATAATTTTTGTAATTAAAATTAGATCGGCCAATATGCGCTATTGGAGCTCTCGCAACCTGGCCTTATTTCCAAACATTCACAAACTTTTAAAGATCTTGGCGACACTGCCTGTTTCTACATGTACTCCTGAGAGGACTGTCTCTTCTCTGAAACACCTCAAAACTTATTTGAGAAACTCCACAGGCCAGGAAAGACTAAACGGTTTGGCGTTAATATCAATCCGCCGCAGAATTGACATCGAAACCGAGGAGGTAATTGATTTGTTCACTGCAAAGAAAGCTAGAGGACTAAATTTAATTTTGTAATAATGTGTTAATATTCCTGTAATGGTATTCACCATTTTATTTTATTTTATGTTTTTCTACTGTTACACCAAATCAAACCCCCCCCCCCTTTTTCTGGCTACGGCCTTGACCGTGACAACGTAGAGGAGGAGTTTTGTCGGGAACTTGAACGGTGGCAGTTTTCTGCTCCAGTGTTATTGTTTAAAAAATGGTTTGAAATGGATTTTTATATAAAAGTTGTGCGATTTTTTGTGTTAAGTGTCTGCGCATGTGAACTATTAGTGGAAACGGTGAAACACGTGCTCTGATGGTGATATGATTCTCAAGATAAGGTGTCTGTCTGTTTAGGCGCCTTGAGATACCATCGCCAACTTTCAGCTGTCCGCTGGCTCAAGCTGCCATTAAAATCTTTCAAGGGCGGCACAATGTGACGCATCAACATATTGTGAAGCAGTGTACCATGGATGATAATTAAACATTGTAACTTCGTACTCAGAAGGGCTAGAACCCAGAGCCGTAAAGCCAGTTATATAAAAAAACTACTGTGTGTCAGTGTCAATTGCTCAACCTCAATTGAGTTTTGGCGGGAACTTGACCGGCGGCCGTTTGCTGTTTCTGTATTATAGTTTAAATAATAGTTTGAAGTGGAATTTGATATGTAAAAGTGGTGCAATTTTATGTATTAACTGTCTACGCATGTGAACTATTTGTGGAAACGGTTAAACAAGTGATGGTGATGGATTCTCAAGATAAGCTGTTTGTTTGCATAGGCGCCTTTAGATACCATCGCCAACTGTCAGCTGTCTGCTGGCTCAAGTTGCCGTTTAAATCTCCCAAGGGCTACAAAATGTGACGCATCAACATATTGTGAAGCAGTGAAATTCTATATATTCAAAATAAAAAAGACAAGGCTGTATGACATAGTTCCTTTGCCTGCTCTTTCGAGCGAATAATAAAACCAACAACAACAATTGCTTAATTGTCAAGTCAAAGTCAAATCCAAAGACTACAATGTTAGTCAAATCATAATTTCATACAAAGTTACAAAGAGAGAGTCACAGCAATTTCGAAAGGCACAACACAAGGTATATATGATAATTAACTAACGAATCCGAGTCCCGAGTCCTTGCCCTGTCCAGCATTGCCGACCAATGTCCATTCTATGGTCCATTCAGTTGTGGCACTATACTCCACTATACTCTATGAACTGTCTTTAAAGGTAAGTCCTATTCCAATATTTTTCATTTCAAAATTTTGTAATATGGACAAAGGACAAAGGAAATGAATTTAAGGAAGAAATATTTAAATAAACTTACCAATTAGTAAGCAATAAATGATTCATCCTTACATACAGATTATAGAAAGTATAAACAGGATTTGTTTTGAAGTCAAATAAAATGTGAAATCGGGATTCTCTGCTTTGGAAATGTAGGTAAACATTAGAAAGCCTGTTTATTCTCAAATATTTCTTAATGGCATATTATATTACCTAACTTTAATACTGACATATTATTTACGCTTAACTTATGTTACTGATTAACCAAATAAGTATATTGAAATCTCGAATATCTCTTAATGGCACTTATACTTACAATGGGGCTTCTACGGTTCCTACGGTACCATGATTTGAAGGCAGATTTGCATAGAACTCGACAAGATATGCCGAAAAGTAAAAATAAAAATGTTCTATAGCTCACTTAGTTTCCGAGATATTGATACTTATCGTGCCCTTACAATTGATATAAAATGTACTTTTACATATTTTAAAATGATCATCATTACATCCCTTTAGAAGTCTACTGCTAAACAAGTTCACCAAGTGTGGTGTTACTTATAAATGTTATTTATTTAAAAACAATATAAAGTATAGTATAAATAGTTATATACATAAGTTTTTACAGATACAGTAAAACTAGCTTAATATGATCACATTTTATACGATTTCTCATCTAGTACGCCATTTTATGTGCAACTTGAGGCATGTTTTTATACATTTTAACACGATTAATATGATTTGTCATCCCTTCTAAAACGCCATCTGTGCAACACCCAAGTCGAGAGCCGTTCCACTAAAACTTTCTCTAATCAATCAAACTCCTAAATTTTGCTTTTTTTCTTCACATAATTTTTCGTTAATTTCTTGTCTATTCTTTAAAATGGTACGTAACGTTGAAACTGGTAAGTGAAGCTCTGCAGCTAACTCTGTTTGATTTTTAGTTTGAAATTTTTCATCAAAAACTCAATATCTTTAGTTTATCTTCAAGTGACAATGTTTTTCACTTAATTGTAGTCATAAGCACGAGCTTTAAAACTGCCTGGCCCTATATTATGCGGAAAAGCGCGTAAAATTGCTGAAAGCTTACAAATCACAGATTTTACCGCTTCAAATGGTTGGATAGATAGTTTTTAAAATTGTCACAGCATTGTGTATTGTCAAATCAGTGGGGAATCAGAGATAGTGGCAGAATAAGATGTTGATACATGGATATCACAACTTCCTGCATTGTTAAAAAATTATGAACCGCGTAATATTTTTAATGCAGACGAGTTCGGTTTATTTTATAAATTGATGCCAGTTAAATCATATGTCTTCAAAGGAGAAACTTGCCATGGTGGCAAGCAAGTAAAGAGAGACTCACTGTCATGGCCTGTGCTAATTCTGGTGGGTCGGAAATGTTACGTTTGCTAGTGATTGGTAAGGCGAAAAATCCATGTTGCTTCAAAAATGTGAAATCGCTCCCTGTAACATATGATGCACAATCTTGAGCTTGGATGACTGGCCATCGTTTTATAACTGGTCAAAAACTTTAGATAATCACTTCCAGATTAAATGTAGACACATAATTCTCTTCAGTGATAACTGCCTCACGCACCCTAAAGATGTTCAACTAAAGAACATCACACTTGTTTCTTACCTCCGAATGCAACAAGCAAGTTGCAACCGATGGATCAGGGTATTATAAAAGTCCTTAAACAAGGCTACAGAACATGATTGATACATCGCTATCTTAAAGAAATGGAAGACCCTGACAGCAAATGACCGTTGACTGTGTATGATGCGATCCCAAACATTGCAGCCGCATCGCAAGCAATTAAACCTGAAACCATGCAAAATTGTTTCAAGAAAGCAGGTTTCCGAAATAACGAAGCTGATTATGTCTTGGAAGAAGGACCCGCGATACTGCAGGGTTTTTTTGGATAATCTTCCATTGATGACAATGTTGCACCCTACGAAACCTGTTCAATCGAAGATTTTATTGAAGATGTGAATAATGCCCGAAAAGAGGCCCTAAGTGATGACGATGAAGATGAAGGAGAATCAATTCCGATTTTGTCGAACGCAGAGGCATTATCAGCAGTAAACAATTTAACCCATTCAATGCGGCTCGAAAAATCGCCTTTATTACGCAGGGGCGGGCAGTTTAAAGAGCTAACTCCAATAAGCGTCGGACGCATCTCATATTTAACCACTTTGATACCGATCGGCGTTTCCCGCACATGAAAATGATTCTTGCTTGTTTAGACAGAATTTTAAATATTCCTGATTTTTTAACAAATTATAAATATGTAAACCTATTATTCAATACCTGCACAATATTTGTAAATGATGTTTTATTTTCCCTATCCCGCATAATACGCTTTTCCGCTTAAGTCGCGATTTTGGCTGGGTCCCTTCAAAATCGTCTTAAGCGGGTTTTACTGTAGTATCATAAAAGTTAAACATCTAACAAGCTGATATAAAATGATATTTAAAAAAATACCAATTTTAATGAGAGTATGTAGCATAACCTTATGGTTGTTTGTTGACAGTAAATCCTTAATTCCAAAAAATGACTAAATAATCAAGTGTTCAAAATGTAATGGGAATACTTTAAAAAACAATAAATATATTAGTTTACATATAAATTTTTTATTTATGAGTTACGCAAAACTCGGTGTACACCATTCATCTTGTGGATCATGAAACATGTAATAAATGAAAAACCTTCGATCTAGTATGTCAGTCAATCAATAATTATCTTTATTCTTGAAAAAAGATATAATCAATTAAATACTTAATATTATGTATAAAGTACCGTGGTGATGTTGTTAATTATTCAATTACAGGAATTTGATTGTGATTATGAAGCTGCTTAAGCCCATATCTGTGTTGCGGCAAGGTAGGCGCCGACGAGGGCCCCGGGGTGTCAGCACATGGTCCCCACTTGCAACTGCATTCAACACACGTCCCAATTCTAGGCCTATGTTTGATACTTTACGGGAAAGAACAGTAGGTCTCACTTTTCTTTAAGAAATCCTTTAATAATACTTTTCGTTTTTTTATAGAATAAGGGTGACAAACAAGCACACAGTTCACCTAATGGCAAGTGGATGCTCTGATCCAGTGACACCTCTATCTATCCTTGATTATAATTGAATATAATTTTTTATATTTAAAAATAAGTAAATGTATCCTCAATTGATAATCAAAATGTAAATGTTTTGTGACCCTGCGGGCTAAGATAGTATACATTATTAGCAATAAAAAGGGTCTCTGGTTCTGTTACGCTCACCATAGGAAACACACAAACAGTAAGGTGCTATTTAATGCTGGTATTCTGTGAGAGTGTATTACCCCCGTGCTGGTGTCCTAGATCCGTTAGTCCATTCATGCTGCAACCATAATTAGCAGCAGTGTCAAATTCTACCATGTCAAATTATTAAAAGTAGTGCTAGTTATGTTAACAAATGCATAGTTCTGCCAACAGAGGCAGCACTAATACAATCAATTTTTGTATGTAATAATATAATACACAAAAGAAATAAGCATTTTGAAACATTATTAAAACTAACTAAAAATTACATAAAACAAAATAAAACTGAATGTTTTTATTTACTTAAAAAATACTGAAATTAATTCAAGATTACATTATTTTCAAGTTATTGATGATATTTATTGCATGTCTATTTTACTTTATAAGAACAATCTTAGTACTTTGGTTCCATAAGTTATTGCTTGCTCATTTTAAAAGGCATCTTAATTTTCAGGGTCTTTTCAACAAACCAGAACTAACAAGTTTTGAGGGCTTCCATGCACTCAAGGAGCAAGCTATTGCAGCAACAGACAGGCTTGTTGAAGAGGCTACATCAGGCCCTACTAGGCCCATGGTAGAAATCTTTGATGAACTCTCGGATACATTGTGCAAAGTTGCAGATTTAGCTGAATTTGTGAGAATTGCTCATCCACAGCCACATTTTGCGAGTGCAGCTGAAGATGCCTGTATTAGTGTCAGTGGAGTTGTAGAAAAGTAAGATGTAATGCTTTGCAACATATTTTTTTCATCAGCTCTCAAAGGTCCACTAATAGACATAGACCCCTTATTTGTTTTATATAATAATAGCGATAGCGGGCCTGTAGTACATCTAATGGTAAATAGATGCTATGGCCCATAGAGACCTACATCTATCCTCAATAAAGAATGAAAATGTAGATTTGTTGTCAAATGCAGATGGAATGCTTCGTTACCAGTAAAAAGATCACCTATTCTCAACACTCACCATACAAACTACACTACATTAGCTTTATCTTAACGAAGATATAACAAAGAGAACTAATAATTGTCATTATATCCAGTAAAGAATTTCAAATTAAATTTTGATCACAAGTCCAAAGAGAATATAATCACTACGTTTAAGAGGCGGGACTTCCATAGTAAAAGTAAATGCATGAAAGTACGCCAAGCTACTCTACCAACATCATGATATGACATTTAATTTTGACAACATTGACGAATTACAATAGTGCTGTAAATGTCTATCCTCGAATAATTTTATCGATATAACCTTTATCGATATATTGCTTATCGATATTTTTACGTAATAAAAGTTAGATCGCTATACTGAACTATTTATGAGAAATAAATTTTTTGACGTGGGGATTGAGTAAAAATGCCGATGAGGAAAAGAAATCAATGTATTTTACACACAGCAATTTATAATTATATCTCTACAATTAGGTACAAAAATATGTATAAAAAAATATAAATTTAAAGGCCGGCAACGCATCTGCAATTCCCCTGGGTTTGCGGTTGTTCATGGGCGGCGGTAGTCACTTACCATCAGGTGAGCCGCATGCTCGTTTGCCCCCTCTCCTATAAAAGAATATATATATATAAAATAAAAAACGTACTATTATACTAGTAATTAATTAAAAAATAAATGAGAACTCCGTAGCGCAGTGGCACAGCGTTTGACTGTGGCACTGCAGGACCAAGGCTTCGTTCCCGCACTGAACAAGTGTTGCTATGCTGTAAAATAAATAGTCTGCGTCTGGATGCTTGTTTTTTTAAAGGGTAAAAATATTGGGTTTTTAACACTGATTGGATTAAATTGCTTTTATGTGTAACAAATTCTATATACAAATTGCTAGGCTTCTTCACAGAGGTACCTATGTACATACCATTCGCAGAGATCGTTTACTAATTGTCGCTTTCAAAATGAGTGCTCGTTATAGCTATTGTTTGTAGATGAATCTATAAAAAATATTTATAACCAGGTAATTACAAATAACTTTGAGTTTATTTATATAATCGAATTCTTACCAAAATGTAACTTTAGAGGGAGGGATATTATCTTTTGCTACATGTTATTATTAGACATGTTACGAAAAGCAGAAAGACGAGATAAGTAACCGTCATTAAAATTTGACCCCGTAGTACATATAATTTTTACTATGGAAGTTGCACTAGCCTGCACAAGTCTATAACTAAGCTAAGCAATACACTAAAACTTGAGTTATTCAAAATTATGACTAATAAAATATTTTTTGCAGATTAAATACACATAAAGGTCTTTATGAAGCTCTACGTGATTCGGTCAGACGCGGTACATCTGGCGACCAACATCTAGCTGAATTATTCTTATTTGACTTTGAGCAGAGTGGAATACAACTTGAAGATGGCCCTAGGAAGAGAGTTGTGGCACTTAATGACCTTATTCTTCAAACAGGACAGAGGTTTATGGCTGGTGCTGCAAAGGCAAGAAGAGTGCCGAGATCAGTTGTTCCTCAAAATGTTAGACAGTTGTAAGTTTTGTAAAGTTAACATTATTCTTTAGCTCTATAAAAATAATAGCTGCTATCTTTTATATTTAAGCTTTTGAAGTGACAGGGATGAAACTTGAAACGAATTAAACATTTCCATCCTATATACTGGGTGGAGAATAGGTTATCACGTTAAATAGTACAGCAGTTAATACAAGTTGATATATGTCTGTTAAAATAATAAAAGAAAATAAAAAATGCATTTTTCAAACAAAATAAATAGCGTAAAAAATTGACAATAAATAAATCAGCCTTGATAATATATAGGTTATTGACCTGAAGTGACTTACAAAACGTCGCACGCGCCAGAAAAATAATAATTTCGACACCCGGTCCCATTTCTTGTCACTTCGCGCATAGAGAATTATGCCTTAACTTCATTATTTTAAGTAAATTTTTTGCTTGAATTTGTTTTCACACACCCGCAGCGCGCGGACTTTATGTTTTTAATTTCGCGCATAAAATTATGCCTTAAATTGTTAGCCGTAAGTACAGTTTTTGTTTGATTTTTTTCTTTATTTGAGTAGTTCGGATTGACAACGTTTAAACTACCTATATTCGCCTTCAAATGGCATGGGTCTTTGACCTTCTAGAATTCATCAGGTGATATCTGTATGCATTCACATGATGTTATTTAATATTAAAACGAAAAAAATGCTACCGCGACTAATGTATTAATTGTTATATATTTTTTTAGTTGTGTATGTTTAAAGAAATTTATGTAGCATACGTCTTTTCATTTTATGTGTTAACTTTTTCGTCACTCGGTATAAAAATTAGACAAAGTAAAAATAGTGAGTATAACATTTAGTAGCTTTTTTCATGTACTAATATATGTTTATGTTACTTCGGTATATATTACAAACATAAAAATTATGTATGTATTTATTATATATCAGGTGTCTCAAAAATCAATATCAAGCCAAAACGGGCGATAGGCCAGGTGTTATTAGAAAATTATAAAAAAAAAACTTAGTCATGTACTTTTAAAATGCCTGTAATAAATGGAACAACAAAAAAGAGGAAATTTTAACCCTGCGGTGATATTTCAAGTACTGACAAATCTTTAATTTTTCTTTATAATGTTGTGATATAAATCTAAAAAACTTGTACAAATTATAGTCTAAAATTAAAACAACTTCAAGTCTTAGTTTTAAAAAAACAATACTTTTTTGCCCAACCATTTATTAAAAATTATCATATTGCTCTACTTAAACTGAATGTACCCAAAAAACTCTATGCTATTTTGGCAAGTGACTTTAGGATGGCATATTTAGGAGGGATCGTATGATATTTGCTAGATAATTTCATAAATAAGGAAGAAAGAAACCCAAATTCGAGCAATTTTTACTTAATTTATGCTTCAAGTTTCTGAGTCCCTAATTTTAAATTTGAGCGCAACAGATAAGCATTTTCGACCAGTGTGAATGAAACGGATAGCGAGGCCATCCTAATCATGACCAAATAGTGACGCATAGGCACAATGTACAATACTACAGTGCGTTTCGCTTTTTCTTTTATTGCACTGCTTTTTTATTTGTAATTCATGTTGATTTACAAAATCTTACAACTTTGGCATTTTGTTATTTAAAATAATCCAACAAATTGATAATTTTAAAATTAAAAATTTACTCAATAATCTAGATTGGAGCGAAATCAAAGATATAGTGTTCAAATAAAATTTACGACTGCATAAAAATAGATTAAATGATTGTTACAGTCATTCAAAATATATCACAAAATTAAATAAAATTAGTAACAAAAATAAATATTGATTAAAACTATTTTTTACGGATTTTATTGCGGTTAATTTTACTATTTTAATTCCCGACGTTTCGGGTGCTTTACAGCAACCCATGGTCACGGGGAGGACTGAGATGTTTGACGTCCCGATGTCACAGTTAGCCCTTCTACCTTCAGTTTTTAGTATTAATTTTTGGTACGATTTACGCAGAATGAACTTACAGTATCTTGCAGTCTAGCAGCGGTATGCTTGGGTTTGGATTTAATTTTGTTAATTATAGGATCCCAATCAGATGGCAGCACCCATCCATCTTCTCTATTGAAATTAGGATGTTTTTTAATTTCAATAGCCTCGCGTATAATCGTTGGTAGAAATCGGTGTTTTTTTTTTGCGAGGATTTGTGGTCTATCAAATCTGATGTAATGGCGGGGGCGATCTTGAACATGTTCACAGACACATTGTTCACAGAGAAATTAATATTAAAAAACTGAAGGTAGCCGGGCTAACTGTGACATCGGGACGTCAAACATCTCAGTCCCCCCCCGTGACCATGGGTTGCTGTAAAGCACCCGAAACGTCGGGAATTAATATAGTAAAATTAAACGCGACAAAATCCGTAAAAAATAGTTTTATTCAATGTGTAGTGTTCGCGTAAATATAAGAAATCAAAAATAAATATCCTTGGATAAATAGTAAAATTGATAATATGTGTAAAAAGAAGGACAAATTATTCATCAAATGGAAAAAATTATTCTACAGACAAATTATTAAAATTAGAGTATAATAATAAATTAAGAAATAAGACACGTAAAATGATAGAAAAAAGTAAAAATAAATATTATACGGAATGAATAAATAGTAATAAAATGAATCTTAGAAATTTATGGCAAATTTTGAATACAATATCTGGTCGAAACAAAAACTCAGTTGATGAGGCAATAATAAAAGCATTTAACAAGAACAATACTGACATAAAATCAATAGCTAATAACTTTGCAAAGGAATTTAGAAACAGTTTCAAAAGAGCCTCAACCAAAAGTGTGATGAAGATTGTAAAAACCCTTAAAACCTTTATTGGTTTTAAGGTTCAGATTCTGTACAATCATCTTCCGAGAATATAATTTTTGTCAAGTTTGTTAAAATTAGTTTGCATAGAAGTATTAGGCTTAGAACCGCAGTAGGCGCACGCAAAGTGAAGCCGTTTCAAGTTAGCCTCTAAAGGCTAAGTACGAGTTTTGGCGCGTTAGTACTCGAGTCCATGTAGGCGTGTAAACAGCTCGCACAATTTTTCAAAAAAAAAAATGACGTACTGTACTGTGAAAGTGTGTCACAACTCATCACATAATCACGAAAAAAATGTAAAAATCTCATTTCACGGTTAAGTACTGCCTAGCATCTTATATTTTTGTAAAAAACATTCATCACAACAAAATAATAAATAATAAATTGACAGACGCCAATATAATGAAAATGTTGCTAGGCATAGTAAAATATTTTACCCCATTTTTTCTTATTACATACATAAACATAATTTTTTTTTTTTTTTTATAGGAGAGGGGGCAAACGAGCATGCGGCTCACCTGATGGTAAGTGACTACCGCCGCCCATGAACAACCGCAACACCAGGGGAATTGCAGATGCGTTGCCGGCCTTTTAAAAAGGAGTAGGCTCTTTTCTTGAAGGTCCCTAAGTCGTATCGGTCCGGAAAAATCCCTGGTGGTAAACTATTCCACAAGGAAGTTGTGCGAGGAAGAAAACATCTTCTAAATCGCACAGTGGTGGACCGCCAATCATCCAGATGGTGTGGATGGTATCGGGAGTTCTGCCGCGATGTGCGTTCGTGAAATTTGGCGGCTGGGATTAATCCGAACAATTCCTTAGAGCACTCCCCATGGTAGATGCGAAAGAAAATGCAAAGAGATGCAACATCTCTTCGCAGTGCCAATGAATCTAGCCGATCGGAAAGGGCTCGGTCGTCGACGATTCGAGCCGCTCTGCGCTGGATGCGGTCAAGTGGAAGGAGCTGGCACTGGGGAGCCCCTGCCCAGAGATGGGAACAGTATTCCATGTGAGGCCGAACCTGCGCCTTGTAAAGTTGCAGGCGGTGTGCCGGCATGAAATACTGTCCCGCTCTGCTGAGCACGCCAAGCTTTTTAGAGGCCAATTTGGCCTTCTCTTCCAAGTGACCACGAAACTGCACGTCACTCGATATGTCGACTCCGAGGATACCGATACTGGCTGAGGCAAGAAGGGGAGTGCCTTGAAACTGAGGAGATACGACAAAGGGGTTCTTTTTAGCGGTAAACGCGCAAACTTGTGTCTTCTGAGGATTAAACTGGACTAGATTTAGTCGCCCCCAATCCGAGACTTTGTCCAGCAAAGACTCGACTTCAGACACAAGTTTGTTCCGGTACTCGGCGACGTTTTCCCGAGAAATATTGGCCCGGCCGGTGTATAGAGCATCACCAGTGCTGTCATCCGCATAGCAATGAATGTTACCAGTTAGCAACATATCATTGATATGCAGAAGAAACAGCGTTGGTGATAGCACACAGCCTTGTGGAACACCAGCGTTAATAGGCTTGTAGTCAGAACATGCACCGTCTACAACGACCTTGATGCTCCGATCTGCAAGAAAGCTGGTGATCCAATTGCACAATTTCTCGGGAAGCCCATAGGAAGGCAGCTTCGAAAGAAGCGCTTTGTGCCAAACCCGATCAAAGGCCTTCGCAATGTCCAGACTAACGGCCAACGCCTCCCCCTTGGACTCTACTGCCTCCGCCCATCTATGGGTCAGGTAGACCAGAAGATCACCAGCTGATCGACACCGACGAAAACCGTATTGGCGGTCACTAATCAGCTGGTGATCCTCAAGGTACCGGATGAGCTGGCAGTTAATAATGGATTCCATTATTTTGGAGAACAAGGAGGTGATCGCGATAGGCCTATAGTTGGACGGGTCTGAGCGGTCGCCTTTTTTAGGGATCGGGTGGACAAAAGCTGTCTTCCATGAATTCGGGACTACGCCTTGGGAGTAGGAGTACCGGAAAAGACGCGTTAGGACCGGTGCCAACTCCGGAGCACACGTCCTCAGCACAATTGGGGGGATTCCGTCAGGCCCACTCGACTTCTGGATGTCCAGGGAGAGAAGTGCTTTGCGAACTGAGCGCTGTGAGAATAGCACATCCGGCATGGAGCACTCACACCGCGGGATGGTCGGCGGTATTTTCCCCCCGTC